TGCCAATACTGAAGCACGAAGTTGGCCGACGAGATTTTTTTTTTTTTTTTTTTTTTTTTTTTTTTTTTTTTTGTTATTGGTACACCATCACAATATTGATCTTTTGGTGTTGAGAAATCCAAGATGGAGCTCGTACTCAGCCTTGTGAAGGGAATGACGTTTCAGCGGCTGAGAGTGGAGTATCCCCTAAACTTTAGCGTGCCGTGCCCCTGGATTGTAGGTCATCAACCACTAACGGTCCTCCAACGTGTCAAGCTCAGGTCAGTCTTGTAAACCTCCAGCTCATCAGCTTCAAACCGAGACTCACGACGCTTCCAGCCACGATCATCCCCATCTTTCGTCTCCGAACTTCGACAAGTCGCAGGAATGTCTACAATAGCCTCACCACGCGATCCTCCTCGCCGTACTCCCACAAACTCCAACCGTCCCTCCTTCGAAACCTCTCGGTCCGCACTGGCGTCTCCTGTTCTCACACAAGGACCTACACAGCCTCCTGGGCCCCCTCAGCAACAGCAACGCAAAACGTCTTCGAATCGCGCTGCCCTTCGGGAGTACTACAATCTGCGCGCCTCAGCCCCTCGTATAGAGATTCCCGATTCTGAAGTCCCAGCCACTGAGATCGATGCCCCTGACTTTAACGCCGATGAATATGTCGCCAAGATTATCGAGAAGAGCAGCCTTGAAGAGCTTTTGAGGCTATATACCCGAGTTGTGGGAGAAGTGCGTGCTCTGGATGCAGAGAAGAAGGCGTTGGTATACGACAATTACAGTAAGCTTATTACAGCAACAGAGACTATTCGCAAGGTGCGTTATGGGTTGGTTACTATTCAAAAGAGTCGCGATACTGACAATAGTGACCAGATGAGAGCAAATATGGATCCCTTGAATCCTATGGCCTCAACACTCGACCCGGCAATCGCACAAATCTACAGCCAAGCATCTTCCATCCGAGATACCCTCCGGGGAACCGTTCCTTCACCAGGTTCTGAGGAGGGCAAGAAACGAGACGCAGCAACCAGACAACAACGGACAAAAGAACTCGCGGCACAGGCTCTAGCGACACCTGCAAGATTACGTGCTCTTGTCAGCGAGGGCAAGATTGCGCAAGCGCGCAAAGAGTGGGTGATGCCACGAAAACTGCTAGAATCATGGAAAGAGAAAGGACTTGGTGGCAGTGATGTCGAAGAGTGTATTGAAGAAGGTGATGAGGCGTTGAGACCGGCCGATAATAAGAGCAGCGCTTCAAGCCCACGGATATCGAGGGACGAAAGACTATCAAGAGATAGTCGTGCGTCAAAAGACGGACGGTCATGAACTGCAGGTTACGAAATATACCCAATGATTTATTGCAACACTCCACCACTGCCCAGGGTTAATGGAAGAGATTCTAGACTTATTATTCAATATCATCAAAGAGATTCGATAACCACGGCGTTTCTGTTTTGCCAGGTCATAGCTCATATAGAAGAAGCATGGGCCATCTGGAGCAGATGGACAGTATAAAATACGATCACACACAGTATGAGCTCAGTTGACCCTCCACTATTATCCTTCTGCTCCTAGCTTCAAGCTCCAACAGCTTCTAGCCTCATGTCAAGCTAGTTAAACGAGAAAATTGCTGGTGAGTGAGCCTTGTGCCTTACAACATCAATTAGTAATAGAGCCCCCTGACAGGCTGTAGTCGAGACCAATCCAACGTTTGAGCCATCGCATATCACGCATTTGTAGCACAATTGCTATGAGAGGCTCTGTTCTGAGACTGAGCAGACTACTTACAACAATCTCAAGCTCGGCTCGATTTCCAACTTCCCCCCTAGCAAGGGCTCTACCTTTTGTAAACCCAAGAAAATACTGCTCTTCTTGTCATTCTACAAACAACTCATCGCTCAAGATGGCCGACAACGGTGCTTGGGGCGCCTGGCAGGTTGAATCTTCAACCTTCACAAAGGCAGTAGTTGCAGCTATGCAGAAGCTATACCCCGAGGAAATCGCAGACACAAGCTGGGACAACGTCGGTCTCTTGGTAGGAAACTCAGAAAATGATGACAAGAAGACAAAGAAGGTCTTGGTGACCAATGACCTGACCTACCAAGTCGCCGTCGATGCTATTGAGCAGGATGTTAGTGTCATTGTTAGCTATCGTAAGCCTTCGTCACATATGTTGAGTCGGGTTTCGGAATTTACTAAAACAATGCTAGATCCCTTCATATTCGGAGGCCTCAAGTCCATCACCAACAGAGATCCTCAGCAAGCTACTCTCCTACGCCTTGCCAAGGCTGGTATTGCTGTCTACTGCCCTCACACTGCAGTCGATGCCGCTCCCGAGGGTCTCAACACTTGGCTTGCAGATATCGTTTCTGGCCCTCACCAAAGCCAACGCTCTGTCGCGATCCCCTGTAGCTCTGCTCCCTCCAGTCACTCTGGCGCAGGCTATGGTGCCATCGGCCGCTTCGACAATGCCGTTTCTCTCTCCGAGATCATTCTTCGTCTAGCTGAGAAGCTCGGAGGCCTCAAGCATGTTATGGTAGCAAGTCCTGTTGGTGCTGATGTCAAGACTACCAAGATTAGCAGCTTTGGTGTTTGCGCGGGTAGCGGGTATGATGTGCTCAAGAAGGCCGAGGTTGATCTTTTGGTGACTGGCGAGACCAGCCATCACTCAGCTTTGAGGGCTATTCAACAGGGACAAACGCTTGTACAAGTTTTTCACAGCAATTCTGAAAGAGGATATCTTCAAGAAGTGCTCAGGCCCAAGTTGGAGGCTGCTATCAAGGAGAATGTTCCCGAGGTGGAGGTTGTGGTGAGCAAGTATGACAAGGATCCTTTTACTATCTTGGATGTCAATAATCTCAAATAGTTTAAGTCCGATTGAAGAGTTAAAGTGCAAAGGATTAATACAATCCCAGATAAATTATATCAACTTCCATAGATGACTCAGTGTTGATTCTTGGTGGTATGTGTCAAGTGACGTGCGTTTCCCCATAGACGGCGGCTCAAGGTCAGATGCCGCCTCACACTGTGCTTTTTACCCCACGATTGATATCTAATCAATCAATCAATCAATCAATCAACCTCTTACTTTCGCTCTACTTCCATACCTCGATATCCTCCTGTCTCAAAAAACATAACAATGTCGCAAATCACAGACGAGTCTCTACGTGAGGCCATCAAGCAGCGCCTCGAGGCTACTCACGTTGAAGTCACAGACATGTCGGGTCGGTTCTTTTCTACTCTGTTCTACCCCGCGAACCCCTCCAGGCCGATCACGGCGTAGAATCCAACATTAGTAGCTAACATGAGGATATCGTAGGCGGCTGTGGTCAAGCCTTCAACTCTGTCATCGTCTCTCCTCAGTTCCAGGGCCTCAGCTCTCTCAAGCGCCACCGCCTCGTCAACGCCGCCCTCAAGGACGAAATCGCCATTATCCACGCCTGGACCGCCAAGTGCCAGACACCCGAGGAGTACGCAAAGACGAGCGCAGCCAATGATACCGCGCAAGCGTAGCCATCGATCGCCTTTTCTTTATCTTCCACGATGTCAGGGTTATACTACATGGAGTTTCTGCATAAAAAGGGCACGCGACAGGCATAGGAATGGAATGGTAGGGCGGGAATGTAACGGAGGGTCTAGATAACGATATCCGAACGTAAGCGGTCTTTATGCCGCTGTACCTCACCAAATAACAAGAAAGCCAAGGAATCGAGTTTATAATTAGAGCATCTTTATTTGGCATGCGTACAACGCGGAAACAACAAGATGTGTTTGTATGCGCCAACACCATAACCTGCATCAAGGCATTCATCCTCTTTTCCTACCAACGCGTCTCCATACTCCCGTGAACCAATGACCATCTCTTGGCTTGAAATTCATGTATACGTTTATGCATCTACAAAAGACCCAGCAAGTCTTCACTGTCCTTCTTGGGCTGTTGAGGAGCTCCGCCTTGGGCTTGCTGTAGCTGCATTGCTGCTGGTAGGGGCTCGCCTGCTGACGAGCCACCAAAGTTCAATCCTTCGAAACCGTTCATCAAGTCGTTCATGTTGTTGCTGGGACCTGCAGCAGGCGCAGGAGCTCCAGAAGCTTGCGCCGGCGCATCAAACATGCTCATCATATCAGCCATGGCACCTGAAGGCGCACCAGCAGATGGGCTGGCCACTCTGTCGGGAGTTGCTGAAGCACTGTTCTGCTCCTGAGATGCAGGCGCGGCGCCATCAAAGTCGATATCCAACAAATTCTCAATGTTGTTTTGAGGAGCACCGCCAGATCCGTTGGATGAGGCGGCAGCGACTGAAGCAGCGATAGGGTTCTCGGCAGCGTTTTGTCGCTGTTCTTGGATAGCTGCTCGCTGGATCTCATCGGCGCCGAAACGACCCTTACCCACGAACGACTCAGGAGGCTTATGGTAGACAGAAGCGAGGGTGGAGAGTTCAGTGAGGAGTTGCTCCAGAAGAGCCGGAGGAAGGCTTGTCATGGTTGTCGTGATCGTGGGCTTTTGAGATAGAACAATGTTCTGAGAAACGTAGTTAGCAACTATTCCGATCATCCTTTAGACGAATTTCTCACTTTAGCAACTTCGGGATCAGAGGAGAGAAGACGCCAGTAGACATATGCCCTGTCGCGGATATCGGGGTTATCGTTCTCCGCTGTCGCTGCTTGGAGAACCCTTTGAACAAGGCCCTGGTTGCTTCCAGGCTTCTTCAAGAACAGCTTCACCACCGCTGTCAATATTTGCAGTTGCGTCTGCAAATTCTGTCAGTTCGGCCCTAGTTACCATTACCATGTACGTGGCTTACCTGCGTGAACTCTTCCATAAAGGACTCAACGAAACTCTCCAAGATCTCGTCTGCATTGCTGATCTTCTCAGCATATTCTCCAACAATCCAGATGAGAGATCCGCGGGCAGTGGGCTCATCCAACTCATCAATATGCTTGCAAAGTGTAGGAATAACGCCCTCGTAGCCAGGGTACTTTCGCAGAATATCCTTGATAACGACAATCACCTCCTGGACAACGTAGTTGACCTTGGTAGAGATGAGATCCTCGAGGGCCGCAACGCACTTCTCGGCGGCATTTTCAATCTTGATGGCTACTTGGCCAATTGCTTTAACGGCTCTTCGGACGAAATCCATATCAACTTCAAGAGCATACTCCTTCAACTCGGCGAGAAGCTGTTCGTAATTATGCTCGTTGGCTATCCTAACCATAATTTCCAACTTTTGAAGCTTAACATAGGGAGGGTCAGTGTATTTGCAGAAGAAGACGCGCATCTCCTTGCTCAGAATATCTGGCTTAGCCTGGAGCAGGAGATCAATGTTTCGCAGAGCGACGTATTGGACCTCAGGCTGAGAAGCAACCAAGGTGACTGGATTCGGTCAGTGTGTAACCTCAATATCTTGTAGTCATATACATACCCAAGGGAGGAGCCATTTTCTTGAGGTATGATCTCACGAGCTCAGGGTTGAGAGCCTTCATGTGAATGAAAACAGCCTTGACAGCAGCAAGAACCACACTAGGGTTAACATGCTGGAACTGAGGTGCCACACGCTCACAGATGTGCTCCGACTCCTTCTGATCTGACGCAGAGTAGTTGGCTAGGGTTGTTAGGATAGTGACTCTTCCCCATTCGGTACACTCGTTAAGGGCCATAAGCAACTTCTTCAGCGTCACAGGCGTCACAATCAGTGCCCTCGTCTCGGGCGCCGTCTCGGTGATCTCAGACAGAGCGGTCACTGAGTTGGCGACGACCATGGGGTTGGGATCGCCAATCAGCTCCTGAAGGGCCTCCAGGAAGCCGTTCTCGATGCACATCTGAGGGTTGAGGTCGAAGAGTTTGGCGACGCAAATGGCAGCTGTCTTGCGCACGTACGGTGATTCGTCCCGCAGCGTCTTCCTCAGGGGCTCTTCCATATAATCCACCATTTTGTCCACTCTGATGCATCCCATTGTTCGGATTGCCAGTGCTCGTATCAGCGGATTTGGGTCTTCGGAGTCTTGAACAAATGTATTAACGGCGAGAATGCAAAGGTCGGGGTGCGATTTTGCGTAGTTCCTGGCCATTGTGTCAGCTCTTCATCTTACGAGCAGCTATAGAACTAGAGAAGACAGCTCCAGCAGCTATTCGGCTTCGTCCACATACATCAGGTAGAGGTATACAAGCTTCTTCTGATCAAGGTCGCCGGTCGCAATGTTCTTGAGCACATCTGGGAAGAGTGCCGACACATCCTTGCCCAGCGTCATGGCCATGATGGTCTTCTGAATCGACTCCTTGCGCTCGTATGCATACTGAGAAACCAAGCCAGCGCGCAGCTCAAAGGTTTCGCCCTTTCGAGGCACGGCAAAGGCGCCGCGAATGCGATTTACCGCCATCGTCGAGGTTCTTGGAGGGGCACGGGACAGGAGTTCGAAGGTTGGAGAGGAACGAGAGATTGGGTCGTCGAAGACGGCGGTGACAGCCTAGTCGAATTGGTCAGGCCGAGTACAAGCTACTTGTCCTCAAGTACCGAAAGTCTGCATCCACCGATATTATCGCGTATCGGAGGATGCGTCTAAGATAGGCGACGTAGTCGAGATAATCGGAAAGGGAGTTGATCAATCTTGGTACGTATGAGCAAGGCAGATGTAACTGTCACCAAATATGCCAAGGCCACGAAGATAGGTCCAGGCCACTGAGTCGCAGCCCAAACCACCAAAGGGGGGGCGTTTTACAGCGACCCTATAAGCACCAGTTAGTGGATCGAGGCTAGGCTACCCCCTAACTCTAAACTTCCGCCTGATTGCCGTTCGCGTGTAGCGTGGCTTCAATGGTTAACAATTTATTTATTTTTGGCCACCTTCAAATGCAAGTACGTTATCCAGGCTTAGTCACCCTTTTACTATCAGCTCTTGTTGAACTGGATCTCAACATCATCGCAAGTCTCGAGAGGCATCAACCACCGACACGAAGAAAAAAGAATCTTCTAGGGTGTTCTCGATGAAGCCATAGTGTTATCTGGGTTCCCTTGAATAAGAGTCCTCGCCAAATCGAACAATGGTGAAGAATGCCGTCTTTGTTCCCGTAGGATAACGACATCTAAGAAATAACAGGCGCTGCCAAACCTCCGTCGACTCTTTATCGAGTCACGAACTGACGACGAAGAACGAGATGTCTCCAGAAAAGCGGTGGGTCGTCTTCCGGTTTGTCTCAGCGACACATACTGATTGAAAGCAGTTCTATAACGCCGTCCTTTTCATGGGATCAATCGCTGTTTTCAGTCTCATCGCCCAAAGATTAAATGCTGGTAAATGATTGACGGATCATTATCGTCGTTATTACGCTCTAAAGATGCCATTCGAATACTTGGAGCTTTAATCATTAATATTAATCAAGATTGATATCAATCATCGGCTTCTTCCGCCTCTTCTGCTTCTACCCCTGTCTCGCTCTTTGTGGTTTCCGCTTTGGCTTCTTGTTTTCGCCAAAGACCAGCCAAGAAATCGTTGGTGCTCGCCTCTTCGAGACTCTTGTCCTCCCGTTTCTTCATGAATCTCGGGAATCTCAAACTTAGTCCCCTCTCATCACTCACGAGACCAATCGCTGCAGTATAAGTCGGGCTCAACGTTATATCTGCAAATGCCATTTCCCACACTTCTTGCGGTTCGAACCAGATATCTGGTCTTGGACCTGAATATTCGACGAAGGCGGGCTGTTTAGTTCTGGTGTTCTTGGGTTCGCCGCTCTCTTCGCCATCGTCATAAAATTGCCGATTGGCCTTGTAGAATGCATCTGTGAAACCAGACATGCATTTGCATACTGCCTCCAGGGACCCTGTCTCCTCGTTACGGCACGCCATGAGAATAGGTGACCACCATTTCGCCTTGCGTCCTTGCCCATGCCACCCGGCGACAGGAATAAGGTCGAGGGTATCAAAACTTGCGTTATAGTCTTTCTTGACTTTGAGCCAGGAGTCAAGTCGTTTGTCTGGCTCGTAGGTAGCCAGTAAAGGTTTGCGTCTCGTTTTCGTTTTGGTCTCTCCATTTTCATCCTTCTTTCCTCTCGATTTTGCTTTTCCTTTGGACTTGGACTTTGGTGTTAGCAATTTGTTGGTCCCGTCCAACCCATCGCCATCTGCCTCTTCTGTGTATGGCACTGTAGGCAAATTATCCAAGATCTTTACCATGATACCCTCGCATTTAATATCCGTGGCAGCCTTGAAAAACTCCAAAACAGATTCGGAGTCCGCAGACGTAGCATCAAGACTTTGTACCCAAGTAAAGTGATGCGGTATTTCTGTGAAGAGTGATCGTAGAAGTTCTCTTCTTTCTCGAAAGGGCCGATCTAACAACGGTTGCCCATTCAGATACATCAAGTCGAACGCGAACATGCAGACGTCCACAGTGATACTTCCGATGTCGACATCTTTTCTTGCTCGGTTTGTGAGTGTTTGGAAATTCTTGAGCTCACCAGTTTCACGATCAACTGCGACAACTTCACCTTCCATGATGAAGCTATCAACGCCCTCTCCGCGTATCTTGGGTATCAGCTCAACCAAGTCAGGATATTTGTCTGTCATGACTTCCAAGTGACGCGAGAAGATGCTGACTTTTCCACGCTCATCACAGTGTATTTGCGCTCTCTGTCCGTCGTACTTGAACTCGCACGCAAAGTCTCGGCCCTGTAGCTTTGTGAGCATTTCGGACAAATCTCTGGTGATGCTCCCGAGCATAGGTCGTAGCGGTATATGCATGGTAAGACCACACCGTATTAGTAATTCCTCGGAAATCCCAATCTCTAGGAGAACGGGCACAAGATCGTTGTAGTTCGGGCGCCTCGCAAAGCAAGCCTTGACTATCTCCTCTGCCCGACCCCAAATTTCAGCCAAATCTTCTTTTTTGAGCTTTGCAAGATCAGATACCGATTTCAGAGGGAAGTCGGCCCCCGGTGGGCGTGAGAGCAAAAAGGCCCGTGATAAAGCAATTAGCATCGTTGTTTTTACAGCACCAATACGCAACTGTTGCCTGTTAGAAGGTGACGACGAGTATTGACATGGCTTTCTTACATGTTGAGAAAGTGTTCGCACAATGAATCGACTCTCTTCACCACCGCGAGCGTCTTGCAGTAACCGATCTACCAATCTTTGCTTCGTTTCGGAACTACCCTGCCCTTGACTGCTGGCAATTTTCACCAAGGTTTCATAGACGCCCTTGATCGTGAGGGGTTTTGGTTTTCTGAGAGTGAAGCTCTGCTTTTTCTTGGCTTCAAAAGCCACATCTCCGGCATCTCCATATTTGTCGTAAATGGCCTTTAAAGCTCGGTTGTCTAGTCCACAAACGTTCCGTAATGCTTTTGATATCGCTGAGCCGCCCAGTCCGAGTTCCATGGAGATATAAGGAGGCGAAATTGAATTTGTTGCCAACCATACCTGCGAAAGTCAGAGAAGCTCAGGAGATGTGGATTCGGACATACAGCTGGTAGTAAGCTGGTTGGATCTCCCTCAATGAGAACTCTTAGGCAGTTTACAAGGGTATCTACAATCTTAATCCGGCTTGTAGTGCCGTTAATGAGAATAAAGCAGCGTGTAAGAAGGGCATATGACGCATTGCCGCCTTCAGAGGCCCAGTGCTCCTTCAGTTGGTCCAGATACTCAGATGGGTCGAATGTCAGAGGTGTTTCGTCCAGAGGTATTGATGTGGTGGTCGTATCTTCAGCCATGCCTGCTGCCTGAAGACTGAGTGTAGGTTTTGTAGAGGGGAGTATGCCAGGCTTGTTGAGAGATGTTGGGAGGTTGACTGGGGGCTTCGGCTTTGGGCCTGCAGGACTAGGGCTTTCATCTCGAGATACTGACTCGATGTGTTTGCTCGGGAGCTGAAGTGCCTGCGCTTGTAGTGTGTTCTGTGGTGTGTTTGCAACTTCCTGGTCCCATTCTGCTTGAAGCTTCCTAGCTAATTCTTCGTCTGTTAATTCTGTAGCAGCATCACTTGATATACCTTCAGGATTTTCTTCTGTCTTTGAATTTTTACTTGACTCTGTGCCATTATGCTTTTGCTTTGAAAAGAAGTACTCAAGACCACGGGCTGGTGTTGATGATTTGGTGCCGTTGTTGAGCTTCCGTTTCTTGGTTGGACTGGGCATATTTGCATTGATGCCTAGGTTGACTGAGACTACCACCCCTAGTAATAGAAGGATTCCAGAAGAGAGACAAAGTCGATCCACCACAAAGCTTATGTAAATAGAGCAATACGCCTCTTCACGTCCTTGTTAATCAACAAGTATAAACGCGGCGGGCTCTATGACGACGTTGGCGCGAAGGCACGTGACTGAGTTTACAGAGCTTCGAAAATCAGGAACCAGCCCGCTCACTCAACGCTAAGCCATTTCGGCACGCACAAGCGATTCACTCACACAACCGTCGAAATCTTCGTTCTGCCCCACCATCGCGAACCTCCCTCTCCCCCAGAACATCACCCCTCATAACGACCCCTCCTCTCCCTATAAATCAGCCATAATGAACGGTGAAGATCCGCCTGAGAGGCCCAGCGAGATCTCGTCCATCATCAACGGACTCGAACGATACAACCCCGAGGCTGTCGGCGCCCTTGAGACCTATCTCCAAGACCAATGCGAGCAGAAGTTCACTGACTGCAATGCCAACCGAACACTGCTGAAACTGTGAGTCCTCTTACTATACACATATACACAGTACGCCTCGGGCTCTTATATGATGACCGTTTGTCAACGTTTCCTATTACCTGACTAGTGTGGCGGGTTGTTCTCAACTTGGCCACACCTGAAGTCAACTTTAGTGCGACTGAAATGCCTAACTACTCCAACAACCTTTGGCATCATCACTGCTCGACGCGAGGCTAACTTCCCCAAGATACCAGCTCAACCCCGACCGTATCAAGGATGAGGTGATCACCAACGTCTTGGTCAAGACAATGACCCAGTTCCCCTCGGCACAGTTCTCTCTCGCTCTCCACCTTATCAACCCCTCCGCTGCTGTCACTGGTGACCTCGGCGAAGCTATCACCAAGCTCCGATCCCTCAACGGTCAGCTCGAGGGTGCTCAGTACTCCCATTTCTGGGCCGATCTCGACGACGACATGGTTGCCGACTTGATTGCCGACATTCCTGACTTTGAGGACGTGGTTCGACACCGCATCGCCCTTCTCGTCTCACAGGCTTTCCGTGAGCTTCAGATCACCCATCTCGAGTCATGGCTCGGCCTCAACGAGGATGCCACCAAGAAGTTCGTTACCGAGGTTTGTGGTTGGACTGTCGAGGGTGACGGCAGCGTCAAGGTTCCCTCAAACCCTGACAACGAGGCCAAGAAGGCCGAGATCCGTGAGGACGTCAACGTCGAGCAGTTCTCCAGGGTAATCCGACGGTCGTGGGAGGACACTGTTTGAGCTTTTTGATGAGAGTTTTAGCGGATCACAAGGGATTTTTCGCGCACTTCCCCGACCATCTGATTGGATTCGGATATCACGGTTGATGATGCGGAGGGGTTAGGAAGGGCTCACATGGTAGCATGGCGGGGGTTACAAAAACTAGGCGTTTAATCGGACATGACATTGCAGAGCAATCCAAGGATCTAGAAATGCATAGAACTTTGCGATTTACTACAGCGTATCTGGCTCATGTAGACCGACAATGTGGCTTGATTACAGTGCTCTTGATTCGTTATATTTCTTTTCCAAATTGTCCCGGTATTCAGTTCCCCTTGGACAGCTCCTCCCATTGCACGCCAGCCCATTCCTCAAGGTATCCAACCTCTCCAACGGGTGTTCCTCGAGGCGAGCAATCTTTCTCACATACACCAACAATTATCGTACCCCACTCCATACCCTCCAAACTCATGTCGTCTGCCTCAAGCTCTGCAATAGCGTTTGGTGTCAACTGCACCTCGAAAACTCTTCTCGCCGTACAGTTCGGGCACCGAGGGATAGCACCCTTGTTCACAGCCCCACCAACAGCATCCTTCTTCGAATATAAGAGAGGAGTGCCGGCAAACTCATAACGAATAACTTGCTCAGGGTTCTGCGCCAGACGGTCTGCAAACTTCTGGAACGTAGCGTCCATGCTCGACTCGAAAGCCTCGCGGTCCAGTATAGAAGGTTCCGCGGCATCAGCATCTTCAAGACGGGCGTTGGTGGGAACATTCGTGGCGGTCGGTTCCAGAGTTTCGAAATCGGCGTCAGCTAGATAGAGAGTAGGATACGGCTGGGCCTGAGCATCTTCGGCGGGCCAGGGCTCTGAAGGTTGAGGTGGCGACGCCAATGTATCCTTAATATTGAGAGATTCTGCAAATGTTTTGCTGAGGGATGTTGTTGCTGGCTCAGGAGAGGCAGGTTTGGCAGGTTCAGGCTGTGTACTTGAAGAGGAAAACGGATTCGCAGATCCAGAGCTGAATGGGTTTCCAGAACTGTTGGAGGTGCAGAATGGGTTCGCATTGCTAGAGAACGGGTTTGCGCCAGATGCACTTCCCAGTCCCTTGGAACCAAATAGAGTCTCTCCTAATCCAGGCCCATCGTTCTTTGGCTTTTCCTCTTCGACTTTCTTCTCTTGACTGGGCTCTTTGGATGCTTCCTCCTTCCACACCCGCAGACCTCTCAGTGCGCGGATGCTGCCATCTTTGCGCCGGCAAGTCTGTCTTCTACAGGCGAAGACATAAATTCGCCGCTCATGCTCAGGGAATCGTTCGGGGAGTTCGCCGTTGAGCTGCAGGATCAAAGCCATAAAATCCTTGCAGACTTTGCATCGTGCGTAGGCTGCGCTGGGAGCATTCTCGTCCAACCAGTCCTGATTTCGCTGTTAGTCGGTACAGTTTTGTCTGGTGCGGGACAAGCCAAAGACGTACGGGACGGCCTCCAAGTTTGCTGACAGTGTCTTCGTCTGCTTCTTTAGAGGCATATCCCAGGAGCACGTTTGTCTCCTCAAATTCGCCATCCGAGGAATCGGAATCGTACGAAGCCATGATGTTGATATTGATGGGCTTGATTTAAGTGATTGGTGGTGGGGTAAATATTTTTTTTCTGTACAAAAAAGCTGTCTGTCTGTCTGTCTGTCTGCTGTCTTGTCACAATGCGGGGCTTAGCGCATCAATAGAAATGTTCAACTACAAGCCATCATTCCGTGATGCACTCACTCATGTAGACTACCTACGTATTACAAATGCTATAAACATGCTTGAGTCATAAAATAAGTCGTAATTGTGTATATTACGCCCCAGAGCCTTTTGTCTAGCCTCAATTTTAATGTGGTATCTCCTACATGTGATCATTAGGTCCATCCATGCCAGGCCCAGGTCCGCCTGCTCTACCCATCTGTCGAGCCTTCAACAACTCGTCACATAGAAGGAGGTTAGATGCGATACTGGAGCTGGAGGCGATGCAATTTCGCAGAACTCGGTAAGAGTCAAAGACACCCTCCAGCTCGGGGTCCATAGGTTCACCGGTTTCGAGGTTTAGGCCAACGACATTGCCGTCAGCATACTCGTCCTGCAAGTCCGCAACTATAGCAAGTTAGATCTTGGCCGTGAATACTTGGAGAATAGTCAACTTACGAGCATCCTGGATGTCAAGACCGGCGTTGGCAGCCAGAGTCTTGGGAATAATAAGAAGAGCATCAGCGAATGCCTCAACACCCCACTTGGCCTTGCCCTTGACAGACTTGCCAAAAGCATCACTCTTGAGGTGAGAAGCACAGGCAACCTGGAAAGCACCAGCTCCAGGAACAACGGACTTGTCGACAATCATGTTGTAAACACTTCGCAGACCATCTCGGACAGCATCTGTCACTTGAGCAATGGTGTGAGCGTTGGGGCCCTTAATCATCAGAGTAACGGACTTGGGGTCTTTGACCTCCTCAACAAAGGTGAACTTCTCCTCACCGAGCGTCTGCTCATAGACAAGGCCAGCCCAGCCCAGAACATCCTCAGACAAGTCGTCAACGCTGTTTTGAGCAACACCACCGCAAACAAGCTGAAGACGCTCCATGTTCCTTCGCTTGGCCCGTCGGAGAGCAAGAATATTATTCTTGGCAAGAACGTCAAGAGAAAGAGGATCGATGCCCTTCTGGTTGATAACAACAAAGTTCTTTGTGCCGTCGTTGCCGCAAAGCTCCTTCTTGAGCTCGACGATTTTCTTAAGCTTGGCATCGACGAAACGACGCTCACTTTCGACAAGCTTATCACGCTGCTCAGCGCTAGAGTAGAAGAAGCTGGAGTTAATCTCAGTCTTCTCATACTCCAGGCTGACGTTGAGGGTAAGAATGTAGCAGTTCTCGAGCCGCTTAGGCATATCGGGGTGACGAGCACCGTGATCAAGGGCCAGTCCACGAATCAGCCGAGTGTCGGCGGCTGTTCGGTGCTGCATCTTCATAATCTCCACCATGTGCAAATCGGGCTTCGCGGGAGCCTGGTAAATAGCAAGAACGGCATCGACAATATCAGGTGTAAGCTTGGCGGCCAGAGTCGAGTTGAGCTTGGTGGCAAGCGATGTTCGGGCGACATTGAGCAGGAGTTCTCGGTCAACTTCCTTGGCGAGTTTGAAAGAGTCGAGGAACTACGACGTTGAGCCAAAGTTGCAGGGGGGATGATGTATCAAAAACTCACCTTAAGAGCCTCAATTTTGGCAACCTCGAAACCATCGGTGATGATACGAGGGTGCAGTCCTTCAGAGATATAACGGTCTGCCTGCTTGAGAAGCTCACCAACCAACATCACCACGGAGGTGGTTCCGTCACCGCAAATATCGTCCTGAGCGGTCGCGGCTCGAGCAATCATAACGGCGGTAGGGTTTTGTATTTGCATCTCTCGGAGGAGAACGTTTCCATCCTTGGTCAGCTTGATCTGGGGTCGTCGGTCAGTTTAGGGGTCGTCGTGGGGTATTTTGATAGGAGTTTGTACCTGTCCCGCACCGTCAACAAGCCTGAGACTGTTAGCTTCACATCGCCATATGACAATTATGATAAAACGCACATCTTAATAGTGCCCAGAGGGCCCAGATTGGACTTCAAAACATCTTGTAGGCCTTCACCAGCGCTAATGTTGACCTTCAGAGCTTCGCCCCTCCTCTGCGACAAGCGGGTTAGCAAGTTGCAAGGCAAGGCCACTTTTGGCTGCGGGGGGGGTTTATAGTTATTGGTATCGACGTACTCGGGACTCAGCCTTGGGGTTGAGGAGTTGTGCTGCCGACATGATTGTAAATCTCAGTGGGCACAAAGGCTATGTCGAGATCAAATAGGTCGAGGCTTGAAAAAGCGGTGCTGGTGTAGGAGGTTTCGCGATTTCGTAATCGCACAAGCTTGCACCAGCTGGTCACAGGCAATAGCGGATGGGCTAGGCTGGGACATTTTTTCTGCCCCTCCAAGGGGTGGAAAGCGGTGTAAGGTGAGAACCGAGGGGCTCGGTGAGCAACCAATCAGGGGAGACTTTTCTCAAAGGGTGGTATGAAGCTATTCCGATATCATAACCAAGTTGTTTCTGTACAGGCCATTAAGATCCAGGGACCTAATCTTCCGGTCTATCACTTTACTCTCCTCTAATATATATCCTAGACCTTTACTATCCAGCATTACCTTCTTCCATCTAATGTGTCTACGAGCTTGAATCATGCTAAGGTTTACCAGGGTGTGAAGAGGGGCAAGAAACCGTCCTTTTGATCAATCTCTTGACAGACTGATCGAAGATCCGAAGTCTCTTTTTGTTTTATTTATTCATTTTCCCTCTCAGGTCCAGTGCCTCTCTTGGCTTACTTCAGACCAATACACATATTCACTTGCAACTCATCTAGTCACACTCCGCTCTATGCTTTTTCCAATCTCGCTTCTGACACTCCCCGGAGCAATATTTTACCCTTTGACAACGTGAACACTTCTTTAAAGTAATGCCCGCCTGGTCCTCTGGTTTCCCGCAGCTTCGACATCTTTCTATTCGAGTCACTGGGTTCCGCATCTTGGGAACGTCGGCAGGGTCAACGACTTCTTCGTTGAACGGAATTGCATAAGTCGGGCTGATTGCAATACGGACTGCATTCGGCGCTGCGTTTTCCCACTCAGGGAGAGACACGAAGTTCTCTGGAAGGAGCCCGTTACCACACGAGCACAGAACCTGTTCACCATCTTTGAGACTCAGTGGAATAGTCGTCCCCTTTCTCTTATACTCGCAACTCCTGCCATGAGACCAGGTACGGCACCTCTCAACCATAGATGGGAGAGCCTTCTTCCAAAGGCATAGTTCTGCATCGTCTACATCGATACTGCCACATTCAAGTTCCCGGAGAATAAGAAGGAAGGATTCCATCCGGCCCGACGTGATAAGATCCATCGTGAACGGGATAATAGCAGCATCAATAACAACAGATGCAGCGTCGCCATCAATCCGAATGGCGGAGACGAAAACAAGCATGTGTATACCACCACGCTTCGGGTGGTTGATTGCAAACAAACCGGTCTGGCCAGCCTGTAAGCCAGTGGCGATCATAAACATGGTAAACACAAATTCCTTGAAGTTCACCATCGGGTCATGTGAGATTCCGCTTTCGTCGCGTACAGTACGCAGGTATTTTTCTCGGGCTGAAAACTGCATTGATGTCAATGTTGTCATCCATCGGTTTCGGTCCTTGTTTTCCAAATCAATGACAGGGAGGTTGTCGAGATTCAGGTGTGGCATGTTGAGACAAGCCGGAACGCCAGACGAGGAGATTGCTGAAGGGTATGCAAAATCCAGCAGTATAGGAGAAGAGCCAGGCTGTGCCAGTGGCGCTATCAATTCGATGTAGCCTGTCGTTCGAGCAACTCGAGATTTCATTCCATCCTCGGTGACAGGCACCGGAAAGTTGATAGGGCAAATAAGATCATGCTTGCCGAAAACAATATCAATGACGAAGGGGCTCTTCTGACGAAAGTCGATCGGGGCCTTGTCCTTAAGGAACCCCTTGCCTTTCTTCGAGGTAATGTCCAAGTGTCCAGTAACGGTAGAGATGACAGACTCGGAAGGAGATATCTCGAGCAGAATCTTGGCGGCCTTGTCATCCTGACCCTGGTTGACCGTATTCTCGAGAGACTTCACAGCACTACACACAGCAGGATAACCGTCGTGCCCAGGTAAATGCTTTGTCACGAATACGCTCGCTTTGTCGTCAGTGCGCGTTTCAAAGACAGTCATGGTCATTCCCAGAATGGGACCATAGATCAAGGAGTTCTGCCCCGTAGGTGGAACACAGAGTCCTACCAATGCCGAGTTGGGCTCGTTCTGCAGCGTTGAAGTGGGCACATAGAAAGATGCAACGAGAGGAGAGTCTCCGGCCCATCCATTCCGATCTCTTTCGATTACCACTTGAAACTCGTCCTCATCAGACATTTTGTTGGTTTTAACATTACCGAAGGAAATTTGGATATCTCCAAATGTATTTTGCCATCCTTCGGTAGCGTTATGACTAGATCGTACCGATCCGACAAGTGGCGGTGATGCAAGCCCACGAGGGTTATTTTGATGTTTATACAATCGAGCAATGGCCGGTCTAGGTACAACTACCGTAACAGCGACTGCTGGTGGCAGGGATTTCCAGCGATTGAAACCTCCATTATGGGGAAGGCTTCTGCTCTCCTGGATAATCCATGGTTCGGTGTTTACACCAAGAAGGTGAAGCTGAAGGCACAGGTCTTGCATGCCGTTGCTAGCCAGCAAAAAGCGATGATCTTGGGCAATAGAGTCAATGAGAGCCGAGCACATGGATGGCCAGTCTGTTGCAACCCGGGCCATGACAACCTTGAGCATGGTAGCGAAGCTTGTACGGATAAAGTGACCATATGTGTTTGACCTCTGTCCCACACTTGACTGTGATATGTTCTCAGCCTCAAACATATAGTCATAGAGTGGTGAGAGTAATTTGATAAGCTGCTTTGAGTCGATATGCAGCTTCCCGTGGCGGGCCTGACCCGAAAACTGGTTGTCTCGCTTCCAAGCCAGTCGGTTTCGGGTTTGCGTTTCTCCTTTTGCTTCATTCATGAGTCCAAGGAAAATCTCGTCAACATGGGACTCAACCTTGGCATTGGTCCAGTACTGAACAGGACTGAAACCAAGCAGAAGTGAGATGGTCGGTGCATGTCCAGAGAGAATCTTGTCTAGAGCATTCTTCTGATCACCCTCAGGCCTGATTAGCAATTCTGTGAAAAGCGACGCCCACGGCTCGTCTTTGAGAAGAGGCCCTGCTGCGAAGAGAATGTTGAGCGCTCCGATGTGGTCGCAGAGGTTTGAGGTGTCGATCATATCGAACGCCGATGGCCCTGAACCACCCTTCCCATAGTCCTTTGGATCCAAGACCAATGGTCGTGGGTCCCAGGTTCGCCGGTATAGATTGGCTGGTTTTGCTGTTGTATTCGCCGCCTGTAAACTGTGACAGAGCGCCAAGGCATCCGCAACGGCAAAGCGAATGACAATATTGCTCTTCAACGACTTGAAAGCAGAGATCCATTCGTTGAACTGGGTCATAGCAGCAGCTGAGGCTACAAATTCTTTTCCTCTAATCTTAGGCTCGAGGGGAGAGCCTTCGACAAGAGCAGCATAGGCCGTGGCCAGATGAAAACCCAGGACTGGATCACTAGCATAGTGCAGAATGTCGTTCTCGGAGAGAAGACTTGCAAGGAGCGGGTTTGGCAACTTATCTTTGGCTTGGCGAGGTGTGACTGTACCATTTTTCCAGTATTGAGCGGATACTTCCCCGAGTTTTGCTCCCGCTTGTATGGAGAGTGGCGCTGCGGAACGCATAGCTGTCAAGTTGAGGCGCCCTTCACCAAGCTTTTGGTCGTGGATGTCCTTAGATGGTTGGATGTTCTGCTGGAATGTCTCCGTATAGCTACTGGATTCGCACTTGGCTGCCGCAGCTTTGATGGACAACCAAACACGACGGATATCTGATAGAGTATCGGCATCGCAGAATCGGATAGATTTCCCCCAATTGCTGCTGTTCCATTCATCAAGGGATTTGGAAACGCTTAGCAGCTTAGTAGCAGTAGCTGATACAATGTTCGCAGTCTCTTCGTCCACGAACAAATGGTAGTAGACATTCCAAAGTTGCTCATCACTCAGCTTGCAATCCTCATCAAGCAGGAATATCAAAAAGAAAGCATTGCGAGCTAATTTCTGGTCAACATGTTGTGGTGCTGTGATGCAGGGTAAGTCACCTACCAAGAATCTTTTCGACGACATCGCAACAAGTGAAGTCGATTTTTCTCTGGGCTAATCCGATCAGCTTCAAGTTTTGAGGAAAGATCGACTTGTACTCACGCAGGCCTTTCTCCAGGTATGTCGTATAGAGAATGTTGCGCAGATCACCACAGCCAAGCGACAGAACAGCTACGTCGTGGCCTTGTGGTACTGATCTGGTCAGGCTGGTAGCTGGCGTATTGCCGGCAGCATAGAGAAAGCTGGTTTTTACAGCAATAGTTGGCGTAAGCATGGTCGATCAATAGTGAGAAAGAAGAAAGTCTCACGGCTTATGAGAGAAAGGAAATACGGGAGTAATGCTGGATCTGAGAAATAAATCAGGTGTTACCGGATGGTTTGGATATATAGGGAAGCTCGGACTACCTAAGGCAAAGTATATGTGGCTGCGTCTCATCAGTGGAGCCAATGAGACGCTGGATGATCTACCAAACATGACAGAGCAAGAGTAAAATAGAGACATAATGAAACGTCTATGACAGAACAACAAACCAGATGTAACTCCAACTGATCTAACCCGATTGATAGACTTCACAGGAAATCAACAGCCTCAACTGAAATTCAATTGGTGATAAACCAATGTTGAAATTCTCATGGCATTGTTGACTGTATATCAACTTGCAAACATCGAGTCAAAGTAGACCATTATCACATTTAACCAAGGCACCAAAGTGAATCATCAATGGATATTCCATTGGTAAACTCCATGTATCCTCCCAAAAAAGCAAAAGCCTCAACCTGAAAACTCCAAGCGGCCTAAGGGGGTGTCCGACACCCAACCGCGTTGAGACCTTTGCTTTCTATCAATCCCCACAGCGGGCACGCTGGGGCACCCTCCATCAGATTCAGGCCCCCCCCCCCCCCCCCCACCCAAATAATCATGAGAATCACATTCCGGTTCGCCAGTTCCTGCCCGAATAATCCATTGCTGCTAATGATAAAAACCCCGTTGAAATACCCAAGCCCTTTTTTACTGTCTTCTTCCCCATCCCTAGTGTACATAGCCGCGAGCGTGCATTACGTAGAAGCGTGAGCGTGAGCATCGTGAGAAAATATGTCGCTTCTTCTGGAAACGAGTGACCTCAATTGGTGTAATCCAAACAAAAAAGTGCATGGCTGATTAAGTACTGTTCCATGGCTTGCGCGAGACGAAACAAAGCAAACAAACAATGCTGGGCACAAACTAGTTGCTGCCAAAGAAGACGTCGTCATTGTTGTTGGTGAACATGCCGACGTTGTCGAAATCTTCGTCAAACTTGCTCATGAGCATGTTGGAGTCGCGATCCAGTTGGATAAGATCGTCGTCGTTGGCAAATTGATATAGCATTTCATCGTCTGCATTGCTTAGGCCAAGGGGAAGAGAAGCGGCCATGGTTGCCGAGGTGACGAAAGTTGTTGTCCCGGGAATGATGGTTAGATCGTCATTGGTGATTGAAGTGTTGGGGTCGACGTCGAAGAAGTGGGTGGCTGGGGGGGAAGACGATTGCGAGAGCTCAGGTGGTGTGTTGTACTGGCTTGCGATGCTCTTGGAAGGAGATGCGGCGTGCATGGGAGTGCCCTCCATGATGGCCTCCGGGGACACATATGAGTGTGCGCTGCCAGCGGAGGGAGAGGAGGCATACTCCTGAAGAGCGGCGGCTGTGATGCCAGTCATGGGTGCTGAAGAGACGGCAGCGAGAGCCTGGTTCTGTGAACTCATTCCAATGTCCATCATGTCATCAAGCATAAACTGTTCTGGTGAGTTGACAGCTGAGCTGTCAGAACAAGCAGAGAATGATGACATTGAGCTGACAGACATGTTCTTCTTGCGGGTTCGCGCCGACTTCTCCATGCGAGTCTCGATATCAGGGCGGCTCTTCTTGGGCGGCCTGCCTCGCTTGACAACCTTGCGCACGACGTTATCGAAAGCACCAATGCACATGCCTCTTTGGCGGTGTCGAGTAAGAGCATCATGGCGAGCAAAGCTATTGCCACATTCGCAAGGGTAGGGCTTGATTCCAGTATGGATCTTGGCGTGTCGCTTGAGATCGTGCTGTCGAACAAAGCACTTCTTGCAAGTGGGACACTGGTATTGTCGGTCATTGAGATGGGTCTGAACATGCGACTTGATGTTCTCCTTGCGGCCGAATTTCTTGCCGCAATCTTCATAGGTACATGTCCACTTGCCGTCGCTGGCGTCTGGGCCACTAATGAACTGGGCGATCTCATCCTGAGTGACTCCGGTTTCTGTCTTGGTCTCCTCAATGTTGATGCTGGCGATGCTGGCAGCACTTGCGATGCTAGCAACTGACTCGGTGCGGCGATGGGGAGAATGGCGACGAGATGGTGTCTGAGAGGGGGTCCCAGAGACAGATTGAGCACCCATGGGATAGGGTTGGAGTTCAGGCTTGTTGTCAAAAGATCCCATGTACTGTGTCATTCGAGGAGTGTTGGGAGTGACTTGTTGTGGTAGCTGATGGCTGAGACCCTGGATGTCATCCCGACCAAAGTCGCTCTCGATCTTCATGAACTCGTTGTTGAAGCTGTTCATGCTCATGTAGTCAGGTGTCGACATTGGCAGTCCATTGAAGGATGGCTCAGGAAGAGTATTTGACCGAGCTGGGTTAGACATGACTTGCTCAGAATGCTGTCTGATGTCTTGGAAGATGGTTTGAGCCCTTCGGTTTCCTCCACGGTTCCTCACGGGCTTGATCGTCTCCTCCATAGACTCATCATAGCCATCAGCGAACCGACTTGGCATGCCCTCATCCTTGGCCAACCGGTCGTGGGGAGTCTCAATTGGCGTAGGGGGAAAGTAACCTTGCTCAAGGTTAGCCGTCTCAGGCATTGTCATTGTCCAGCTGAGCGACTGACTTTGTGTGTTCTGGCTCTGACTTTGGTTCTGGTTAGGAGGCGTAGCGGGTCTTGTCGTTGAGTCCAAGGTCTCGAACTTGTTAACGCGGTCCAGGATGCCACCACTTATCCTTCTTGAGGTTCTCCTTGTACTGGAGGTGTCACCTTCAGAGGACCAGCCCTGAGCGGAGGAACCCTCAGAAGGAAAGTTGATGAACGTTGGAGTTGAAAGTGCACTGTCATTGTTAAAGATATCAAATTCCTTACCTCCCGACATATTGTCACCGTATGCAGCCTGTTGGCCCTTGCCCATCATCACGTTAAGATCAGTAGTGTAAGGGTCAAAGGGAAGTGAGTTGGGGTCAAAGCAGGACGGGTCGAATCGTTGTGTCTGAGGAGTTCCATGAGGGGACATGAGATAGTTCTCACTTCCACTTGGTGCCAGGTTGGCGTAAGGGTTCTGTGTGCCCGGGCGTGCTTGAATGCGTTGCTGCTGCGCTTCTCGCAGAACTTGCTGCGTAGAAATATTGGCTAATCCTGTGTTGTTAGTATTCGTACTTACCATATAGTTCTGCCTTGTTGCTGCTGAGTTGATGTTCTGGTTCTGTTGTCGTCGAACATCTAGGCTGAGGCCGCGTCGGTGTGCGGTTTGTCGTTGTGTAGTTGGCAGATTAGGGATCTTGGCGCCCTCAAAAGCAGACGGTGTCGAATTTTGACGCCGGTGCTGCTTTTGCCGGGCGTGAAGTCCTGTTGGATTGGACAGCATAATGTCGCAAGGGGGAGTCCGGAAGGGAATTGTCGTCGGTCGATATATTGTCGATGGGAACCTATAGGTCCGAAACTGTTTGGCCTGTCAGTCAACTTCTCGACTCGTTCACTATACTTCATGTTCCTTACCTCACGCAGCGCAAGCACAGAGCGCCGGGCTAGTGGAAAGTTGTTGTCGTTCTCAGTCGAGGTCGACTTTGCGATATAAGTTCAAATGTGGTTATGCCTGCAAGGCAATGATATTGGTTTGTGGAAGTGCTCTTTTTGTGTGTTTGAGCTCTCCCGAAAGATGAGATAGATGCAATTGATGTACAAGCTCTGATTGATCTTGTTTTGTATGTATGTATGGATGGATGGATGTGTGAATGGAGTAGCTTTGGTGCTAGATGCAACAAGAGCAGCAGTGTGGATAACTTGGATCTTTGGGGTCGATAGTGAGATCGAGCTAAAAGTAAACAATCACCAGGGGCAACCAGAATCAAACCACTAAATCCAGCTTCACCCATGCTCAGCCGGTTACCCTGGCACACCTTGGCGGCTAGAGCTACTAAAAGAGTGTGGCAGCCAACTTCTGAGACGTGACCTGGCGACCGATGGTCCATTACACCATAGAACCATGTTTATTCTCGGCACACATCCCACTTCCTGATCATGATAAGATTCTAGCCGAGGATTGATCACTGACCACACCCAGAGTGATCTCATCGCCTTTATGACTTGACAACTCGCAATTTCACGAGCCAATTCACGTAATGAACATTGATAACTAGTTATATACTTCGCGGCTTGAAAGCCACAGCCACAGTATACCTCGCAGCTCAAGCAACTCGAAGTGTCGCATGGGAATAGCATCGTTGCCTTATTCCCTGTTGCTACCATAACAACCTAGGATTCCAGCATATGTTTCGGTCATTGGCAGCTGTACAGTAAACGACAACCCCTGTAGCTGACGCAGATGACGTCTCGTTTCAGGAACAACACGGTCACAAAAAAGTGAGGTTGTCTCAAACAACCTGGAAATGAGAAAGCCTAGGTCATCGCCCATACCAAGTGCCTCCGCGCCATTGGACATACCAACGCCCGAGGGTCTCCAACTTGCAACTGCATTCCAGCCAAACAATAGATGGCGATATCCTGTGTCACCATCACCTTGAATTGAACACGACGTTGCCTAGGTTCCCCCACTCCATGACTGTATATTCAGCTGTTAAGTTCCCTGTCTTCGGACGGGAGGCGTTCTTCAGCACAAGGCATTGCCTTGGAATCTCACTATTGGCCGACATCATGTCGCTCTTTGATGCAATACGATCTAGAAGCTTCACCGCCAATGTATTGATCCATGATCTATCCAAAGGCAGTCCTTGATTCTTTTTTACTTGAGACAAGTTCTGCGTTTTGTCAAAGTTTGTAGTCGCTTCCTCGTTCAGTCGTCGTTGTAAACAAACCTCTCCCGCCGATGAGGCAAACACCGTTGGAACTTAAACTTTGTTATGCTCGACGTTTACGGGACATCTGGTCGGCGCTTTTTGCCCCAGAGATGGCGTTTTCAATCAAGTTCAACACCATACGCAATGACCTACAACCGGAAGCCCTCAATAACAAAGCAGTCTCATTATTAATGAACAAACCGGGCGTGGGTAGCCATGGTAATGTCGATACTGATCGAGAAAAAAAAAGAAGTCTACAGGAAACTGTCATTGTGTGAATGAAAGACTCATCTTGGCTTAAACTTCAGACGTTTTCCTTGCTCACGTTTTTTTTACTACGGAATTCAACACAGCAATGAAGAGGAGTTGTTCGTATATCTAGATGATAATTTCCAGAGATCAGGATCGAAAACGTTCGGTAACTGACGGTCGCTTTTCCATTGATACAGAGTCTTACGATGAAGGTTGCGAGATAGAAACTCCTTCTTATAAGGTCAGCGCCGAGTCTTGCCGATGTAGTCGGCCCCACACGGGGCCGGTACTGGTGATCGCCAGTTCCGCCAACGGCACCAATGTATTGAGATAGAGTCATACAATCATCTGGGTAAGCACGCGCACTCAAACCCGACGAATGCGGTAAGGTATTGGCCTGCCAAGATCTTCATACTTCTATCGACTTGGACGATCATAGAAAAGTTTAATTTTACATCAGTTCTCCTAGGTGGTTTGGAGTTGCACTACTATCCAATACGAGAATCTTGACATATATATCAATTTCTAGTGATATAACGATACATTTAACACTGTAAAAACGCAAGTTATGATACATGACTATAATTTCTGACGATTCAGAGCTGGCTGTTTCGATTCACACAGCCTGGAAAGTGAAGGCGAAGAGCATAATATTCTTAACCGTCTTCCATGTAGTAGTATAAAAGTGCCGCTGGACTTTACCTTAATATAGTACCATGCCTAGGTACCTTATCTTAGGTAATTCTGTTTGCCCTGAAACAGTTAAGATGTAAGAAGCAACTTAATTCATCTACCGTATCTAGGTCAGAAGAAGCTGGGGCTTATATAGCCTAGCTAGACTTCTAGAAGGTTCCTTAGGTTTGCTCTACAGGTAAACTGCATCTAAGGAAACATATAGTCATAACTAATAAACATAGCAAATAGCAAATAGAGGAGGCAACAGGTCTATCCAACAGAAACGAAGTCCAAGATGGCACTTTCCTTAGCAAAAGGGTAATAATGCAGGCAGATACGGCGTCAATGTTGAGAATCACTGCTCTGAGCAAACTGGGCAAGAGTGTGTGCGTGCATCTACAAACTTGGGTAGGAGCAAGCAGGCACTTTGGCAGTCGGCAGTTGGCAATTGCTGCCAGTGCAAGATTACCTTAGGCACCTACCCTCTATGCCGAGTAACCATCTGTGACTTCCTTCGCAACTTCGTCTCTCTGTCCTTTCTCAACCCTTTTCTTCCGATGCCAGGTGCAACATTCTCATCTCTCATCTTCTTCTTGATCCTTCATTATTGAACCAAGTGCAGCCACTCCTTCACTCAACCATGACCGCAGACTCACACACATCCGCCCAGAACTCCGGCGTCATTGTGTTCGAAAAATGCGAAACTATAGAGCGCCAGCGTGACAGCATCTATGAAACTTCATTCATCCAGCGCCTCAAATGCCCCTTCGTCGTGCAAACTGTCCCCTATACTGGATATCTCCGCGCACTACAGCTGTATGGTAACGAGGATGCTTTCGATCTCACTCAAGACGAACGTGAGAATCTCATGAACTGCAAGAATCTGGAATTCTGCCGATCACTAGCTCGGAACCAAGGCTACAATCCGGAGTCTGGTAACACTGCGCCCTGGGTAGGTGTATACTTTCCGCGCCAGTTCATTCAGACATACCCCGGCCCTCGCATGATCGTCCTCGAACCAGACGTTGAGGAACAGACTCTGCCCAGCGAGCAAACACTGTCTAGCATTGAGACGGAGGGGCAGTCAACCTCTTTAGCTACTGAGACCACCCAGGAGATCAAAATGGCTGAGGAAACATCCCTCATTCGGTTCTCGAATCTTCAGCTGTATGATCCCGTTAAGCCAGCAACTCTCCGAGGCATGAGTGGTAGTCGCGTGCCTACTGCAGATGATTTCGGCAACACCTGTGTTGGGGGCATGGAAATGGCTGTCGTCGTGACAGAATTACTGGAGGGTGCTGTGAAAGGAAACTTCGATGTTGAGTGGAGGAGAGCAATTGAGGACACACTCGACTACATTGGAGGTTCGGAGAACATGGCCGCTTTCCTCGACATGGTGTACGAGAAATTTCCCAAGAAGAAGGACACTTCAGTGGCGTCGACTGTTGGCCGTCGACTCCGTGGCTCGGAGTGATGAACCCCAGTTAGGAAGGATGCTTGAGATGTGGGACTACGATACTATGGTCGGATACCTGCTGTCAGCGAAGGATGGGGTTTGATATGTATAGTCTCTGGGATCTACCCAAGAGAAGAGGAAACAATTTGTTTGTTCGGAAACGGAATGTCTGTAGGGTCTTAATATGTCCAATAAGGCTCCTGGTTCATGAGTGAGCATGGAATAAAAATCGACACATAATATATTGCACGGGCCCATGATGTGCTGGCTGGATGTAATGGATCCTTCTGACGAACTATACGTAAGTCAGATGCGATCCGATGCGGGTCATTATTGGAAAGAGCATGCATATAGAGTAGCATTCCACTCGAAATGATTCTTTTCCTTTTCGATCTGGCCCTCGATCATGTATGTCTAAAAGGGTTCATTCTATCTATTAAAGACGTTGTCGGATCAAGTCGGTGAAACGGTTTCAATCAACATCTGATTGGATAATAAGCGCTCCTGAGTCAACAACCACTAAGAGTTACCACAACAACCCTGAAAGCACAGGGCCAGGCCCAAGAGGCGGGCGGGAGGTACCAACATCCTGGGAGCTTGGAGAGTCACTCACCTCGAACAAAATCACCCGATTTCCTCCAGCCTGCAGAATATCTCGCCCGCTGCTATTGGCTGATCCTTAATTTTCCTAGGTTTCCTCCATCCGGGGCATAGACTCACCTTTTTCTATTGCATTTCCCTTGCCGCCGACCCTCTTTTGCATACAGCGAAACAGATAACGCCAGCAATCGTACGTATTCTGCCTTTGGCTGTGACGACAAGCCGGACCGACTCCTCGTCTCGTCTTCGTTCCATCTACCGCTATCATGTCGGGAAACACTTATAGAGGAACGCCCACTCGCAACCAGGGCCGTGGTGCGGTTCCTTTCACCAACAGTCCCAGCGGTAGTTCAAGCATCCCTCGTCCTGTCCTGGAGCCCTCACCGCCTACTGAGACTGGATCTGCGGTCAGCGCGAGTCGTCAGAAGCAGAGCAAGCGTGATGAGGTTCGTCATGATATACCCTTTCGATTGGCCTCGACTGCGATATATACCTCGAAAGGCTTCGAATTACAATATACTAAGTCACTAACCTCCACCACAGGCTATCCGAAAGAAGCTCGAAAATGACCTCTCCAAGAAGAAGCACCTTACCAGCCGGGCTCGCCATTCACGAAAGGCTCCTCCTGGGACTGTCCTCGCATTGAAGCCCAGTCAGGCCCTACAGATCAAGCCTGGCACCACCGTATCCGAGGCTGCTCAGCTGATGGCCGCAAAACGCGAGGATTGTGTTCTGGTAACTGACGATGACGATCGCATTGCTGGTATCTTCACCGCAAAGGATCTTGCGTTCCGAGTTGTGGGAGCTGGAGCAAAAGCTTCCGCCATCACTATCGCTGAGATCATGACGAAGAACCCTCTATGCGCTCGAACCGATACCAGTGCTACCGATGCCCTGGATCTCATGGTCCGAAAGGGTTTCCGCCATCTGCCAGTTATGGACGAGAACCAGGATATTTCGGGTGTGTTGGATATTACCAAGTGCTTCTACGATGCCATGGAGAAGCTAGAGCGTGCCTACTCGTCCTCTAGAAAGCTCTACGATGCACTTGAGGGCGTCCAGTCTGAACTGGGCTCGACTCAACCCCAGCAGATCATCCAATATGTCGAAGCTCTGCGCAGCAAGATGTCTGGGCCTACTTTGGAGACCGTGCTCAACGGTGTGCCCCCCACCACCGTGAGCGTGCGAACCTCGGTCAAGGAAGCTGCTCAGCTTATGAAGGAGAACCGTACAACCGCTGTCCTTGTTCAGGATCAAGGAGCTATTACGGGTATTTTCACCAGCAAGGATGTCGTTCTTCGAGTTATTGCACCTGGTCTTGACCCCGCCAACTGCAGTGTTGTGCGTGTCATGACCCCTCACCCCGACTTTGCACCCATGGACATGACCCTCCAGGCGGCTCTCCGCAAGATGCACGGTGAGTTGTTTAGGAAAATTTAGTAAGATGCCGCTAATATGTTTTCAGATGGTCACTACCTAAACCTCCCTGTCATGAATGATGGCGGTGAGATCGTCGGCATGGTCGACGTTCTCAAGCTAACATATGCTACACTCGACCAAATCAACGCCATGTCAAACACCAATGATGAGGGTCCCGCGTGGAACAAGTTCTGGCTGTCGCTCGATGCTGAGACAGAGTCTATGATGTCTGGAGAGGGTAGTGCAGCACACCACACCAATCTTGGCTCTCGCCTGACCTCGCCTGACATGCACCGAGGCATCAACGATAGTCTCGCTCCTGGCGACTCTGCATCTCATGTTGGCATGGAGTCACCTCCGCGTTCTGTTCTTCCCGATGTTCTTGAACATCAATTACCAGAAGAGCTCCCATTCCCGTTCAAATTCAAGGCTCCATCTGGCCGGGTTCACCGTCTCAAGGTTACTGCAACAGAAGGCATCGAAGTTTTCGTCAACGCTGTGGCCTCCAAGCTTGGTGCTGAGGCAGATAGCATTGGTGGTGTGCCTCCTGTGTCTGACGGCAAGATTGTCGGGCCAGGTTTTGCGATGAGCTTTTTGGATGATGAAGGAGACTCTATCTCTATCACAGCCGATCATGACCTTCTCGAGGCTGTCATCCTTGCTCGCCAAGCTCACCATGATAAGGTCGATCTATTTGTCCATGATCCTGAGAAGCCACCTGTATCTGGGGCTCCTACTACACCATCAGTCTCAACCGGGGCCGGTCTACGAGAGCGGCGTAAATGGTGGCCCGAAGAGGATGATGATGACTCAGAAGATGAGGATGATGATGATGAACCCGTACGGAGGCGAAAGGGCCGTGCGGCACATACACACGCACAAGGCCCCGAGCAGCTTATTGCTGGTGTACCGAACGAACTCATACTTCCTGGCGCAATTGTCACATTGGCCGTCACTATCATTGGTGTCTTTACCATTGCCAGACTCACCAGTCGGTAAAGGTGGCATCTGCTGTTCTTCGTAATGACATGATGAAGATGGAGGTGGGGGGGGCTGTTTAGTGTAGATATTCAGAAAGAGAAGTAACTTTTTGTAGTAGAGATTACCTTTGCAAGACTAATTAAATGCCAATAAATTTTATTTGTTAGTAAAACATGTCTCATTGCCAATTTCAGGACCGTTCGTTCGTTTGGAAAATAGGTAGTTAGTGATGAGTTGTAGCTGGAGGACATTAGTCGGCCCGGAAAATCCCTCCACCCGATTCATCGACCATAGCCAAATTTTGGTACAGTGGAACGACTACCACGATAACCGAGCATTCTCCAAGTCGTCGCCATGATCTTGAGGAACGTCCCCGTGCGGCATTGTAAGTCAATTGAGCTCCAATTCATCCAAATATCCAACTGACATGCTCAGGCCGCCACACATTGGCGTCCCCCATCTCTAGGTCCCTTACCCGGCAAATATCCACTCAGGTCACCACAAAGACTGAGACCACATCCGAAGAGTGGAAGGCAACTCAGGCCGCTGTTGCGCCTCCGAAGATTGTCTCCGCGGCACGGAAGAAGCAGCGAATTGTACAGGACGGTATTCTTTCTCTCAGGACCAACTCGGCGCACGAGCACAGGGGTGCTGCTTGGACAACACCTCACTCAAACTCAAACTCGGCGATACCTGCGACTCCTGCTCAGCAGTATAAGGAATGGCAAAGAATTCAGACCAACACACGAAGTCTCGGTTCAAAACTGGAGAAACGATATATTCCCACCGAGCTCGTCAACAACCCACCTGGCCCTGAGGATATCACTCTAGAGATGTTGATGGCTTCGCAAACACACATCGGACACAAGACCTCGCTCTGGAACCCCGCGAACTCTCGGTACATCTACGGAGTGCGACAAGGTGTTCACATTATCTCTCTGGAAACGACTGCAGCACACCTGCGACGTGCGGCTCGTGTGGTGGAGGAGGTGGCATACAAGGCTGGCCTCATTCTCTTCGTAGGAAACCGGAAGGGTCAGATGGAGATTGTCACCCAGGCTGCTGAGATGGCTGGTGCTTGCCATTTGTTCACCAAGTGGACCCCTGGGGCTATCACCAATCGAGATGTTATTCTGAAGATGGCCGGAACAAAGGTTGTAGACCACAAGGACCAGGAACTCCCCGGTTTTGAGTCCTACAGAGGCTCGGCTCGACCGCTGATGCCTGACCTGATTGTTTGCTTAAATCCCCTTGAGAACTATACTCTCCTTTATGAGTGCGGTCTTAAGAGCATTCCTACGATTGGTGTTATTGATACCAACGTAGACCCATCATGGGTGACTTACACCATTCCTGCTAACGATGACAGGTAAGAACCCCTACCAACTTTACTCATTTCCGTTACTAATGTATGGGTAGTCTGCGAGCGATGGCTGTTGTTGGCGGTGTCCTGGGCCGAGCTGGCCAAAGAGGTCAACAGCGACGTATGGCAGATGCCAAGAAGAAGAACATGGCGACATGGGAAAACTCTCCTGATATCGTACAGCACATGAACCGCGAGAAGAAGGCCGCTCTTGCTGAGCGCAAGAATGTAATGGGACAGATGCAACACAACCTTGAGGGGTTCAATGAGGAGGAGCAGAAGATCCTACGAGAGGGGCTTTATGGAGACGAGCTTGAGGTTACTGAGAGCGAGATGGTGGACATGATGGGACAGGCTGCCCTGGGAGCTGCAAAGGAAGTTGCCGCTGAGGCGTTTTCTGCATTGCCTGAGGAAACCCCTAGCTCTGGCCCCGAGTCTCCTGTGCAGGCCACTGCTTCTGAAGTGGTGGTAGAGGCTCAGGCTGAGTCTATCACCACATCGCCAGAACAGCCCATTGCCTCCGAAGCAGCCACTTCACCTCCCGAGCAACCCGCTTCACCAGAAGTAGCGACCAACGTTCAGTCTGAGGTTAATCCGACCAATTCAACACAGGATTCTAGGCTAGCGAGCATTGAGGATCAGCTGTCAGGACTAAAGAATGCGGCGGAGGCGATCGAGGCCGATATCAAGAACGGCAAGCAGTAGAAAAGCTGTGTACAATACTGAAGTGTATAATAGCCTACGGGAGGGATAGAGTATGAAAGCGATGCAAGCTGGAATAAATATATAAAAATGTATTGTTATGTATCACCTATAAGCTACCAAAATGTTATCATTTGCATCATAAACTTCAAGGCCGATCACGGCGATAACTACGGATAAACAATTGACCCCGCTTGTTTTAAGGTTTAACATGGCCCTGGATTCTCAGTGGCTTTTGTTTTCTCCAGGTGCACGCCCCGCCTCTATGAATCTTTTGGGGCTCTCCCTGAAGCCTGTGCATTTCCCCTCATCACCAACGAACATTTCAGCACAGTCACAACGAACATCACATCACAGCACTACACAAAAAAAACACAAGCATTACGCACGCTGCGCTGCACCTTATTACAGAGCGGAGCACTGGATACACTGGGGCTATCACTGAGCCTTACAGCGTCTTCAGTCACTGTTTATTAGGTAGTTCCCTGTGGAGGTCCCCGGCCTGTCCAGGGCGCGCCCTTTTCAGTCAAGGATCCAGGCCACCACCCACCCAACAGTGCATTGCATTGAAACACAGCCAGGCAGTTTTTCCAGGCCACAGCACGCCTACAGTAGTGGATTTCAGTACGGTCCGCCTAGAACTCGAGAGATCTTGATAGAGATTTCGGTGCGAAATCGGGATTTGAGAGAGCACTCCACAACAAAAGAGTCTCCCGTAATAGTTTAGCTTTTGAGCCGAGCTGTTCTTATTAAACTGTCTCGGCCTTTCCTGACATTTGAATTGGTATGCACCACTTTATACTTTTTTCTCTCATTCTGCACTTTTTAGTCTTGAGGGTGTTTGTTTGGTGTAAGACGACATCACCCTGAGACTGCGAAGATAGATTCGTAAGTGACAATAATCATAAGGCTAACAGTCTGGTTAATAGGGATAAAAACTTGTCCTCCAATTAAATCATTCTTCTTCTTCCTCTTTCTTCTACACGTTAATAAACCCCGCATAAGGGTTTCATCCAACAAAATGCCGGCCATGCTGGATGATCCGGCGAGCCCCACTATCTACCGAGTCTCCGGTCAGCCTCCGTATCCGGATCCGAACAACCCCGGCCTTCCGGCCGAGATGACCCCCAGGCAGGTCACGCTCCGTGATCGCCAGACTGTGGCCACTATTGTTCCGTTTTCCTCAAAACACCAGGTTCCCGAGTCGCTGATCGCCTACTTATGTGACCAGATCAACAAGGAAATTGAAGGCGGCGATACATATCCCATGATGGATGCCTTCGCCGCCGACAAGTTCGGTTCCTACTGGTTCCAGAACTTTGGCGCTATTATGCTTCTTGGAGATGTTGAACGTGCTGAGGATGTTGTAGAAGGCAAAGATTGGTCCCGAGAATGTCTCGGCAGCTTCTATATCAAGCCTAACTATCCCGGCCGCAGCAGCCATGTGTGCAACGCCGGTTTCCTTGTCACAGATGCCTCGCGTAACCGTGGTGTCGGCCGTCTCATGGGTGAGGCGTACCTTGACTGGGCACCTAAGTTGGGTTATACGTATAGCGTCTTCAACCTAGTGTACGAGACCAACGTTGCATCATGCCGTATCTGGGATGCGCTCGGCTTCAAGCGCATCGGTCGAGTCAAGGGTTGTGGAAACCTTCGCAGCTATCCCAACCAGCTGATTGATGCCATCATCTATGGGCGGGATTTGTCACCGCGCGAAAGCGAGGAACTCGTGAGTGAAGAGCGTTTCGACAAGATCAAGTTCTACCTCAAGTACGGCGAATACCCGAACGGCGCTGACCGCGCTGAGAAAAGCAGGCTCCGCAGCGCAGCGACACACTATAAGCTTCTCGACGGAGACAAGCTCATGCTCAAGGATAAAGAGGTTATATCCGATCCCGCCCGTCAGTTCGATATTGCTCGTCAAGTTCATGTTCAGCAGCACGGGGGTATCAACAAAACTACCGCTACTATTGCAGAGAAGTACCACTGGAGCCGTATCAAAGAAACAGTCAGCGACGTGATTCGCAGTTGTGTGGAGTGCAAAGAGCTAGGCAAGACACCTAATCCTGGAGGCGCGAGAAAGGCAGCCTCATCGAATAATCATACGGGAGGGAGGAGAGGGGGTGCAAACACAGGTGACCACCATGCGCAGCCGACGAGTCCTCCTCTTGCCCAAATGTTACCACTGCAAGAGCACAGTATGATAACGACGATTTCACACCAGAGTCCAGATCACGATCATTCGCCAAGTCCCTATGCTAACCCAGCGGATATCTCACTCATTGCACCTCCTCATGCTCTCCAAGGCAGCTCAATGGAACATGCGCTTCACTCACACAGTCCCATGCTCCAAGATCCTCCTACTGGCCACCACCCACATGATCACAATGTATACCAACCGATCGACCCGCAGATCATCAACGAAGCTTCTCATGACCTTGGCCCCTTTGATCAATATCATTCGCCCGCTGACTTCCAAGCATTGCTCAATGCGACTGAAGATGTTGGTCCTGACGTTGTGGACAGAGATTTGGAGATGCTGATAGAACATCAAGACGATGATAATGTGATGGACGGGACGGATGGTATGGATGGCATAGACGTCGGTGTCGGTGTCGGTGTCGGTGTTGGTGCAGACAACCACGGGCTTGTACATAAGGAAAGGGGTTTGTATGATGTTGGTTTTGAGGGAGCGGGCGGGTAGTCGGAGGTGGTTTTGCGATGCTGTTCTATTGCATTGAGGCATGAAGCGGGCGCTTCTGGATACAGTCACATTTCTCTATCGATGAGCATGAGCTTGGCGTTTCTCACATGAATACTGAGATTGGGCTTGTGTCTATTGGTCTCGACTCTCCCTCCACTGTTCCCTTGATAAGTCCTCAAACACCATCAGACGCCGAAGTCACAACTGCTCTGCTTTGGCTAGAATTCTTGGGAATTTTACCTGCAGAGAACAGATCTCCGGCCCCTTATCATTAGAAGAACAAATAATTGGGTAAGTCACAGGGCGTCTCACATGGCTATCCCAAGTCAGACCACGATAGACGCCATCACGGAGGTGCCTGCTCAACCAATCAGCTTCTCCCCTGTGGCTTAGTTGGCTAAAGCGTCCGACTGTTATCAACCGACAATCGGGAGATCGGAAGTTCGAGCCTTCCCGGGGGAGTTTCTTTTGAAACCTGGTGTTAATTTGTCCTTTGTGGATATCTTTTTGTTAGTCTATGCCAGGAGTGGAGTTTGGGTAGAAACCACGGTATACAACTCAATCTTTGTTAGATGGCCGAGATATCAATTTAGAGGAGACAACGCAAGTCATGTGTAATTGACACTCTGGTTTATATGTTTTGTAGTACCATTAATACTGGGAAGTTGTCAGTCATGAGCTGATATGAGGCTGGTTGTCGAATCAAAAGTAGTAACCTGATTGGCTGAGACAAGACCCTTAACTCCCATACAAAATGGTCCGTGCACGACTGGGGCAAGGCATGATGAGAAAGCGAGAAAGTGGAAGGCTGCCACATTTTTTTGGAAGCTTCCACTCATCACAAGCTCCTCCCACTTTGAGCCCGCCAACGTGTTTCCCTCCCCCCCACCAACCGACGACGGAGCGAAACTTAAGCCTGTACATATTTTATACACGGCTGTAATCTCTTCTATTCAGATTCGGGTCGATCAATCACTGTCAAAATGTCCTTCGGAGGCCAAACGCCGACGATTATCGTCCTCAAGGAAGGTCCGTTTTACCCCACCGCCAGCCCGCTTCACCCCTCGATTCTTAGGGGGCATCTCCAAAAGAAGAGGATAAAAACAAGACGCAACGACAGCAAATATGATCGCGACAGATAACTGACCGTAGCGCCTTCCTACAGGAACCGATACTTCCCAGGGCAAGGGACAGATAATCTCCAACATCAATGCCTGTCTCGCCGTCCAGGCTACAATCAAGTCCACTCTAGGTCCTTACGGCGGTGACCTTTTGATGGTTGATGAGAATGGCCGACAAACTATCACCAACGATGGCGCCACCGTGATGAAGGTTTGAGGCGCTCGACAAAATGTTCATTCACTTCCAGTTCCTTTGCTAACTGGTCAAAGCTTCTTGACATCGTCCACCCTGCCGCAAGAATTCTCGTCGATATTGCCCGATCGCAAGACGCCGAAGTTGGTGATGGAACCACATCAGTCGTTGTCCTCGCCGGCGAGATCCTGAAGGAGGTCAAGGAGCATGTTGAGCAGGGTGTCAGCTCTCAGATTATCATTAAGGGTCTGAGGAGGGCATCTCAGATGGCTGTCAACAAGATCAAGGAGGTTGCCGTTAGCACAAACGAGGGTAACCGCCGTGATACTCTTATCAAGCTGGCTTCTACTGCCATGACAAGCAAGCTGATCAAGAGAAATACTACATTCTTCACTAAGAGTACGCAAACGCACCAATATGCATATGCTTGGTCATCGAGCTAACTGATTTTAGTGGTTGTTGATGCTGTCTTGTCCCTTGACCAAGACGATCTCAACGAGAAACTCATCGGCATCAAGAAGATCCCTGGCGGTTCCCTGACTGAATCTCTCTTCGTTAACGGTGTCGCCTTCAAGAAGACCTTTTCCTATGCCGGTTTCGAACAACAACCAAAATCTTTCGAGCAACCCAAGATCGTATGCCTGAATGTCGAGCTGGAGCTCAAGGCCGAGAAGGACAACGCCGAGGTCCGTGTTGAGCAGGTTTCTGAGTACCAGGCAATCGTCGATGCGGAGTGGCAGATTATCTACAAGAAGCTTGAAGCAGTCTACAAGACTGGTGCTAAGGTTGTGCTCAGCAAGTTGCCTATTGGTGACCTGGCCACACAATTTTTCGCTGATCGAGATGTCTTCTGTGCTGGCCGTGTGGCTGCTGATGATATGGAGCGTGTTGTCCAGGCTACTGGTGCTGTTGTTCAATCAACTTGCTCCGATATTCTGCCCGAGCATCTGGGTTCCTGCGGCAAGTTCGAGGAGCGACAGATCGGTGGTGAGCGTTTCAACTTTTTCGAGGACTGTCCCGAGGCCAAGACTTGCACCCTCGTCCTCCGCGGAGGTGCTGAGCAGTTTATTGCTGAGGTTGAGCGATCGTTGCACGATGCCATCATGATCGTTAAGCGTGCCATCCGAAACCATCTCATTGTCGGCGGCGGCGGTGCTGCTGAGATGGAGGTTTCAGCATACCTTCACCAGTTCGCTGATAAGAACATCTCCACCAAGCAGCAAGCTATTATCAAGTCTTTTGCTAAGGCTCTTGAGATCATCCCCCGCCAGCTTTGCGACAACGCTGGTTTCGATGCCACTGATATTCTCAACAAGCTCCGTGTTGCGCACCGAAGGGGTCAGACCTGGGCTGGTGTTGATTTCCAGAACGAGGGCGTTACTGACATGATGGAGCAATTTGTCTGGGAGCCCGCTCTTGTCAAGATCAATGCTATCCAGGCTGCCACCGAGGCCAGCTGCCTCATCCTTGGAGTCGATGAGACTATCCGCAACGAGGAGAGTGCTAAGCCTCAGGCTCCTGGTCAGCTACCGCCAGGTGCTGCGCAGCGTGCCCTGCGGGGTCGTGGACGTGGCATGCCCCGGAGGTAAAGGGAGAGAATCATAATGAATGATGGAGCATGATCAAGGATTAAAATGGAAAACTTGGCTTATCCTGAAAACATAGACTTGAAAAGTGGGAGGAGCAGTATTTGGCCAAGGGGCTGGAAGATCTGTATGATACCTAGACTTATCTGACCTCTGAAACTTGATGACCTCTATCTACTATATGCCAAGAGGTAGTAAATACGTGTTGCACTAAAAGAACTATTTAGTTGAGTTCTATTTTTTAATAGATATCTTATTACCTAAATGTAGTTCTAACTGGCAAAAAGAGATTGTCTCCCCCGGGAAGGCTCGAACTTCCGATCTCCCGATTGTCCATTTCATAACAGTCGGACGCTTTAGCCAACTAAGCCACAGGGGAAAGAGGCAATTATTATTAGGACCCATCTTTATTTGGCCTCATGTTTATAACATTTAGGTAAAGAGATAATATTAAATTTATATACTTAATCTCTTTAATTCCTATTAAGTACTATAAGTTTAATTTTGTATATTAATAATTTTATTAAAAAGTATAATATTTACTATACTTATAATCTCTTTCTTTTAATACTTTATATAAGTTATATTATTAATTTACTTTTATATTAATAATTACCTTTAAAAGGGAGCCAGTATAGTAAGTATTTTTATTAAAATTTACTTTATTACTTACTTACTTTAATAAATATAAAATAAAGTAATTAATCTTTATATTTAACTGCTTTATTTAATTATTTTATTTAATCTTAAAGTTGTTTACTCTTTATATAATAAATAGTGCGTAATATATTACTATATATAATTTATTAATTTACAGTAAATAAGACATTATTAATATTATTCCTGGCCTTACTATACTCGTTCTCTAATTCTAGAGGATCATTCTAAATAAGTCAAAATATCAACAAGTCAATCACATCCCTTCTTGGGAGGTTCTCAAGGGCGATATCCTGACATTTTATGGCCCTCAGTTGGTTCAAAGACGGATGAACATAAGTAGCAAACATCTTAGATTGTTTGACGTAAACAGCAACCCCTCCTCCAAAGAACCTTTAATGACAAAGAGCTCGGTGTATGAATCATATAATTCTGTGGCTGCCATGCTGCTGGAACTTCTGTCTCAGGCTGTTCTTTGACTATTGTAGGTACAAGACCTCTATCAATAATATATCAATTACTTGGATCACCAGGATCTGATTTCAGACAGCAAAGATTCTTATATGAACACAGATCAGGAACTCTTATCCACGATGACTTGCTATTTAATTTTTTTTCACTACAGTGAGCTTTCTCTATTCTATTAAAAAGAAGCTACAAGCACACAGCAAGGGGCATACCCTATATGCTCCCGCATCCAAAGCACTACAGCCAACAGTAATGTTTTATACTATCGAGGAGAAATCTATGCTCCAGGGCTGGAAATCAGTTAGATGGGACGATTGAAACAATAAACTTTATGCAATACGTTGCATTTTATGGATGCGACCCCTTTTGTGGTTTGGTATCTTCTGTGTTCTGTTCCTGTGAAATATTAAATGTATTTCGTTGACTATACGACAACAATGTCTCAAGGTGGATAAGAAATAGAAGTGGGAATACCAAATCTGATATCGGAGGTCGAGGCTCCGTTAAATCTAGAACACGGAGCATAAGCGGCGCGGTAACGGCCCCGTTGAGACCGAGGGTCCAGGATGACCGGTTTGGGAATGGATGCACGTGTGAGAAGCTTTGGGTGGTAGTTTAAACGCAATTGAGTTACGGAGCACAGCCAAACAAACTAATCCTGATTCTAACAAACACATGTGAATACTCGGTGCCGAGGAGAAGTAAATGGAAAGGGTCGGTTTCGCATTTAGGTCCTGATCAGTACCACGTAGCTTCGAGTAAACTATCAGGAACTCAACACAATCAGATGCAGTATCAAGGTCGTAGAACCCAAGGATGTGCTCACTGAGTTATTCGTTGACAGCAACATTATTTCAGAGCCAAAAAGAACGCCTTATATCAGCATATAATAGTAAACAGGCGTGTAATCACAATCAATATCAATCCGCCACGAGTTCATTAATGAGCCTTTTAAACTTGCAGGAATGCAACGGGAAGACCCTGCGATGATACTAAAGTTAGCACCAGGGGTGTACGCTAGACTCCATAAAGCCCCTGACGTTACCTCATACCGGCCAACCAATGCCACTAAAATGTGGTTTCTCCTGGTCAGGTTGGTGGAGGGCGGGCCCCTTCCTCTGCTAGCTCTCACTTTGAGAATGCCCTTTCTTGTCTTTGTCCCCCGACACCCTGTAACGTTCGCTATCTTGTTTGTCTTCTCCATCTGCATCTCTTTTGCGTCGTTTTCTTGTTGGAGTTTGACTTATTTGTGTTCCTCTTTTGGCTAACCCGACACAAAGAAGGAGGCACAAGAAATCCAGTTCAAGTTGGTCTGGTACCAAACGGAATGCTGATGTGCTCAGTACCATAGGCGACACCACAGTCTTTGACGACATAGATCAAGCGACCCCTCTAGCGAAACATCACGTCACCTTATAGAAGGGCGCAGTGCGAATTGAATCTTTTATCTGAGCCTTAATCGCCCCCCCAGAAGCCTTGCCTCGGCGAGCAACGATCCATCGCAATGCTTCCACTTCGTCGGCGTGGACGATTTTATGCCATAGTCGCTGTGGTTATGGTCTTCCTGCTGTATCGATTCATGCAGAATTCGTGGTCACAGTCTCCTCGCTTTGAAACGGTGAAGCAATCAAGCCAGCCAGCTTCTGACCCAGTACAGGGCTCGAAAGAAGCCTTTGAACCGCCTGTCGTACCACCACCCGTCCAGCTTCCCGATTCCGAGCAGGATTCCAACGCTGCCAATAAACCCAAACCAGCAGTACCTCAAGATGGACCAACATTGCCAGAGAAGGTTGCAGAGAAAGTCGACACACCGGCAGAAGAGAAGCCTGTCGTCGATGAACCTATCTCTGTTGGGGACGCTGCGCTGCCAGATGACAAGAAGGAAGAGCACAAGCAGCCAGCCGAGCAAAGTGCACCACAGATTCCCGATGTTCACTTCAAGGACCCTCCTAAGCAGGCCGACAACCCTGATATTCCCGATGTCAACGTTGATGGATCCAAGGTTCACTGGACCAAGCCCAAGGAGAACTTCCCTATCCCCCCTGAGTCAATCAGACCAGTCCCAACCGGCACAGCTCCCAGTATCAACAGAATCCAGTTCGACTTCCAACCTGAAGACGTACAGACAAGCACCACCCGGTTGGATCGACTGAAACGTGTCAAGGCAGAAATTGAACGGGCCTGGACTGGTTATCGCAAATTTGCATTCCCACATGATGAACTCAAGCCTGCTTCTATGAAGTATCGCGACACCTTTTGTGGCTGGGGCGCGACACTCATCGATTCGCTTGATACTCTTTGGATCGCTGGTATGAAAGAGGAGTTTGATGAAGCGGCCAAGGCCGTCGCCAATGTCGACTTCACTTATTCCGAACGTAACGACATTCCCGTTTTTGAAACTACCATTCGCTACTTGGGCGGCCTTATCGCTGCGTACGATGTTAGTGGTGGATCCTCTGGCCAGTATAAGATTCTGCTGGATAAGGCCGTCGAACTTGCGGAGGTCCTCATGGGCGTTTTTGATACGCCTAACCGTATGCCCCTATTGTATTATCGATGGCATGAGCCTTATGCTTCACAACCCCACCGAGCGAGCACTGTTGGAATCGCTGAGCTTGGAACTCTGTCTATGGAGTTCACTCGCTTAGCTCAATTGACGGGTACTAACAAATACTATGATGCTGTTGACCGTATCACCGACGCCTTGATTGAGATGCAAGCAGCGGGTACTGATGTTCCAGGGCTTTTCCCCGAACGCATCGATGCCTCTGGATGCAACAGGACCGCTACCACCCGGACTGAAAGCCTCAGCCAGGAGGCGCGGGAGCAAGTCAATTCTGCCGACCTGACTAAGGAACCTGAAGGATTTGATCCCACGAAGCTGGGCGGAGATGTAGCCTCTCCCGCACAGCTCCCTCAGGCTGACAGTCGTTGGGAGGACAAGCTCCGACGCCGCGATGTTCCTGTAGATACCGATGAGGCAACTAAAGCGGATGATCAGACACCGGCTCGACCTGGGCCTCAACAGGCGCCCCCTCTTGCTGCGGATGGTTCTTCGGCAGACTGGGATTGCAAGCCTCAGGGTCTAGTTTCCAGTAGCCCTAACTACGGACATTACCATATGGGAGGTGCCCAAGATTCAGCCTACGAGTATTTCCCCAAGGTATGTTGCTCCGTCACCATTCTTCATGATAATTTTGTCTGACGTAAACTTAGCAATATTTGCTATTGAATGGTCTGGAACCCAAGTATCGCCCGCTCTACGAGAACACCATCGACGCGATTAATGAATGGTTGCTTTATCGACCTATGATCAAAGACGAAGGCTGGGATGTGTTCTTCACAGGAAAGTTGACGACTTCTAGCCGGGGTGACTCAGAATGGCTAAAGACCTACGACATGGCCCATCTCGCGTGCTTCGTTGGAGGCATGTATGGACTAGGCGGTAAGATCTTTGGTCGTGATGGGGATATCGACAAGGCCAAAAAGCTCACTGATGGTTGCGTGTGGGCATATCAGTCAACAGTTACCGGTATAATGCCTGAATATGCTCACCTGGTCGCTTGCCCTGCCCTAGAAAAGTGTGCTTTCAGTGAAGAGAGTTGGTATGAGGATCTCGACCCTAACAGAGAATGGCGCGATAGTGAGTTTCGGAAATGGTCAGATGGCGAGGCCCAGAGGAAACTCGCAGAAGGAGCTGCTCCCGCCGCTGCCCAACAAGACAAGCCCGATGATTCAAATAAGGGACCGGAGCCTGTCGTTAATCCCCCAAAGGTGGTCAAGCGGGCAGGAATACCGATGCCTGAACTGGATAGGAGTATGGAAGAGGACGATTCGGAGTTTGGATCAACGCTCCCCGATTCACTCAAGCAGAAAATCGGGCTGAACAAGGACGGATCTGAAAATACCGAAGCAGAAAAGGCTGATCCAGGCAAGTCTGATTCGGAGAAAGCCAAACCTGCTCCAGTCGAGCTAGAAAACAAACCCGCTGCTGTCCAAGATACAACGGAAAAGACGATCGCCCCGAAGCCTGTCACCGTAGACAGCTTTGATGCCGTCAGAAACGCAGAACAGGTTGCTGCTTCTGATGATATACCTCTGGAGAGGCCTGCGACGCACGAGGAGTACGTCAAGTCGAGGATTCAAAGAGAAAAGCTCCCTCCAGGCTACACCGATATAATAAACCGGAATTACATCCTTCGGTAAGTTTGCATTTGTGATACTTTTGTTGCCTCTCCTAACGTAAAGTTACAGACCCGAGGCGATCGAATCTGTTTGGTACATGTATCGCATTACTGGCGATACTACCTGGATGGACAAGGGTTGGAAGATGTTCCAGGCTACAATTGCTGCTACACGCACCGAATTCGCCAACAGCGCCATCGAAGACGTGATGGCCACAGAGAACAATCTGAAGGACGAGATGGAGAGCTTCTGGATTTCCGAGACTCTCAAGTACTATTATCTACTCTTTTCAGAGCCCAACGTCATCAGTCTTGACGAATGGGTTCTCAACACCGAAGCGCATCCTTTCAAGAGGTCGACGTGAACGGTATTTCACCGCGTGTTTACAAGCCATTATACTGAGACCTCGCTCAAAGAAGGTTGAAGTTTTGAAAAGGAGGCCGAAGAGTCGCAAAGCTATTTCAATATCGGGCAAGTCGAAGCCACGACAAAGGCGTTTTTTTTGGAGAATGGCCAGGATAGTGTATGGTTATAAGGCGCTAGTCATCTGAGGATATATCAATGTACATACAATTTTCATCTGCAGCCGGGGTATCTCCTTAGCGTTTCGTGGTCTAGAGTGAGGTCACTCACTTTGTTCCATCTTCGTCACCTAGTCTCTCAACCTTTAGCTGCATCCCATTGGACCGAGATAGGCTGGTGATTGCCAGAGAACTTCGTCCCCCCAAACCAGAGCTCAAATCTCAGGTCTGCTGGAGCAACAATCACTCGAATATCGAACCTACAAATGTAGAACTTGTGTCCACGCCGGAAGCAAGTTCCTCGCTTTTCTTTGAGGACGAGCTGATGTTGTTTGATGCCAGCGAGGTTGCTCTTTACAGAACAAAGTCTCATAACGCCGGCTTGTTTAAGGCTTCGAGGAAGCCATTCGGCCTCGTTGTTGGACACCACAATTTCCGCGTCCCACGCGCGTGTAGTGTCTCCATCTTTCAGCCTGATTTCGAATCGTTTGACCAACGGAGAGTCCGGGTCCACGGTATCTCCCTGTGGGCTTTTGTCAATCCAGTCTGTGAGCAAAAAGAAAGGCCTGAAGCATACCTTTTTGATCAACCATTGGATCTGATTAGTCGCCCACTTCACACTTGGGTCCCACGGATCTTGTCGGACTTCTTCATCAAAGTGTCGTGAAGGCATATAGACCTCCTGAACGATTACACCGTAGCTCGCTCGAGCAATCCAAGTGCTGAGCACGGATTTATTCCCCGACTCCATCCTTTGTCGCTTATTCTCGAGTACTCCACGAGCGACCACCAGTTGCGGGTCTTGGGAGGGTATAACAAGGATATTTCGGGCATTTGGATGCTGCAGCTTGGCTAAGTGTTCTTGGAGAACCTCACGGACGTAGGCTGAACTACCCAGCCCACCGGACAGAATCACATACTCCTGTATACGCAATGAGCCCAGGTCGAGCTTCAAACGGGAGCGCCTTACCACTTGTTTTGAAAGACCTTTTTCGGTCAACCAGTCAAGTCGCTTGTGAATTCGGGCCATGATTGCTTCGATATGGACATCGAAGAGGGCTTGAATGTCTTGCCTGCAGCGGATCAATCATACTTAGTAAGTCGAAATAGAGAGTGCGTTTTTTAGTAGCGGGACAGTAACTGACTTGGTAAAAAGCATGCGTCCATCTTGAACTCCGAGGCCTTCGTGGCTCACATCGTATCCTACACCCTCCATCATAATTTTGTATACTGGCTGCATGTATACCTTTTCGCCAAACTTGTGCTTGACGCTCTTAAATCCTTGACTTCGAGCCATGCGTGCTGCAAAATCAGCCGGAAGCTTGAAGTCGGGATTCGCGGCCATTCTTTGCGAAACAAGTCTTGCAAATGCGCGATCAATAAGTGACGAGCCAACACCTACACCGCTGACGGCAGCGACTTGAGAAAGCTGTGGAAAGCTCGAGTTTGTGGAAGTGACTCGCATCAGAGCGAGGTCCGTTGTGCCACCACCAGCATCCACGGTCAGAAATACGCTGTTTTCCTTGAGACTTATCGCTCCAGTCTTGAGAGTTGCCACAGCTGCGGCCTCGGACTCTGTGAGGTCAACCAATGCTGAATGCTTTGGGCCTCCAGTTCCGAATCCAGCATCATGAATTGCGCCTTTGAAGGTGTTTATGATAGCCATACTCGTCCACGTCGTGGGCGCACTGAAAAGGAACAGCACGGCCATGCGGTCCCACCCACCGACATGTTTTATGCCCATGCGCATTTCTATGCTATCTTTGATATGCGCATATATCTGCTTCAGATAATCTGTCACGAATTGGCGAGCCTGGGCAGTGCTTTGCGGGACGTTGCTTAGACCCTGATGCTGTGCTGCGTCGAGGGTCTCTGGATCTAGAAAGATCTTGAAGAAGTCCCTCCGTGTCTTGCTCGTATCGTGGTCATCGTCAGCACACATGAATCCCCAAGATGAAATGCTTCCATCAGCGTTGTATACGATTGTCGTGGGGACTTTTCGATCACCTCTGTCGTCGCTCCCGGGCCAGTCGTTGACGACCTGAATAGGGATTCCATGCCTCATCCAGGCGACACCTAGAACGGATCAGTTTTTCTCTGGTACTTGCGGGAACACTACTCACCCGTAAAGGTCGTACCAAGGTCCACAGAGATAGCCAAGTCTGGTTGTTCTTCCATTTGTTAGTCTACTCGATTTCTCTGTAGAAGCAACTGAGGAAGAATCAAAAGATAACCTGAGAGCCTTATTGCCAGAAATGTGACAAGCCTCGGAAGTGGCCCATGCGACAGGCCTATTCTCAGCCGCCGGAGCTGGACTTGGTGATATTGGTTTGCTTGACGCACCTCTAAGGGTGTGCGGGTCAATATGCAGCAGGTCGGCTGGGAAAAGACAGACTAGGCCTTCGGCCTCAGCCTGATAATGAAACATGGATCTCAATGTTCCCCCGTGCTGAGTGGCTTGACAAGGGATGCTGCTAGCTGGACCTCGACGGAGAGGAGAGAAGAGGAGAGGAACTTGGTGGTGGCAATCAAATGGCTGTTACTGGGGCTTTTGCTGGTGGTCAAAAGCAACGCCTGCTCTGAAAGCTTTCGAGGCCTTCTCGTTCTTTTTCTTATTATCGCCCTTGAAACCTTTCAGCAACGCTTGCCCCGCCTGCTGAGTTTCTTGCCTTTTAAGAATCTTTATCTCTATCCTACGAAGATGAATTCAACGACTCTAGTGTTGAGTGGAACAGTCGTGAGGAGCCCTACAACTTTGACGGTTCTGGAGATCAAAACTACTACGTCCGTCATTGCCCCAGAAAACATTAATGCATCTCCTGAAGGCCTCACAATCCCCAATGTGATTGTACTGGCCACAACAGAGGCAGTGGCAATTGACAGTGCGCAGGCTTCAGAGGCAACCACATCAAGCCAAGAAGGAATCCCATCCAGCGCGTCACGCACAGATCTGAATGATGGAAAGCCAACTGGCCAGGGAGATTCATCGGAAAGATCGCCGGACGGACTCAAAGGCGGTCCTGTCGCTGGAGTTGCCATCGGCTGCCTTGTTGCTGGCCTTGCTTTGGGACTCATAGCAGCCTTTCTACTATTCCGGAGACGGCGGAGAGCCAAACCAGCAAACCAAGGATTTGTTTTAACAGATCAAAGATACACGGAACCCAAGGATGGCACGCAGGTCATAGTTTCATCGTCCACGCACGATGCTGAACTCAGCCAGTTTCTTCTCGAGGCAACTCCGGACAAGGACCTCCAAGCAGAGCTGCGCTCACTATCCGAACTCGTTTATCAGCACGTCGAGAACTATTACCGTCGACCCCAAGTCCAGGCCGACCCTGCTGAGGTGGCTCAGAGCCTCATCAATATTGGCTACTCACCAGAAGCGTCAGGACTGCAGGCAGACACAGTTGCTGCCATTTGCCTCAGCCCCAAGACCTCTCAAGTTGGACTCCGTCATGCCCTCTCGCATGTCATCTTTCGGAGCCTCGATTTCAATTCTGGCAGCAGCTTGTCCATGCTTCCACCAGAGGTTGCAACACTGACGCAAAGAAGCCACTCGGCTGAAAACGCAAGCAATCCTGGTAAGACACTCCCACATTGACCAGAGCCTGATTAGAGAAATATCTAATCAAACTTTCAGCCATCATCTTGGCGCGTTCAAGGTGGCGCACTCTCTCTGCTCTGCTTCTCCATCCTAACCCGGACGAGAGAACACCACTCCCGGTGTCAGTGACAGAAGCTTCCCCTATGGCTCTATCTCTTGCGAAGGAGCTAAACCAGTTCTTGGGGGTGTTTGTTACACAAGACACTGCTGGCCTACAGGATCAGATGAACCATCTGCAGGCTGTCATTCTTGAGTGTACCAAATTGGGCTATGTCGTTCTATCGCAGCCGAGTGACTGGGGGTTTGTTTTTAGCAACAGTACATCCGTTACAAAAAGCCGTAGGATCGTGGTGTGTCCTGGCTTGGAAAGGCTCAGCCAAAACGATGGAACGAGGTATAGATCACCCAAGGAGATAGTAGCACCTGAGACTGTGAGTTTGTGAGGGAGAGGGAGCCTGGAGCACATTCACTGCAACCTTTTGGTCATTGGGCGTCTTTTATTGGATGGTAGGATTTGATGAGCTGAAAATGGGGTCGATATGTAGTCCTGTATTGCATAACTTATTAGAATTATAGCCACGTCCCGAAATGAGAGTGTTTATGACACAGTGAACTTACAAGAGACTGACAGTTCGTCCCAATCCATGAACAAACGACATATATTGCTTTCTATGCCATGATTCGAGTAAGCCAAGTCACTTGGTTAGTACATATTTGAAAGCGTACCATTCTCTCTCAGACACACTGGGAGGTGGCTTGAACCAAGTCTATGGCCAACACCACAACACAGTAATTCATGTGACATACACCCACCCGATACATAACCAGTTAAATGTTCAGCTGGTGGATTGCATCCGACTATTGGCCTGTCTTGCTTGCTTGGGCGTGAGTGGCTGAGAGCTGAGTCTTTTCTCAGAGTCTGCTTCTAGATATGCAAGCCACATGCCTCAATATCACATTTGGCGTCAGCTCTCAACATGGGTCCTAGCAACATGATAGTGGATGGATATTGTGCAAATCAGAAATAGACTTAGACCGCAGCCTGATTTTGTTCTCTCTTTTCTTGTCTGAGCGGGGAAGACTAATGTGAGGATTATTGTCTCGCCTCTTTCATCACCTGCAGCTTAACAAGGATTACTCAATAGTTACCTCGATCATCACTTACATATTGCCCTTCTCACTAAAATCATCAGCAGCACTCCATTATATAAGAGCATTCACTTCTAGTAACACAGTACTCTGTCCTCATTCAGCATGCCCAACCCCCTCAAGGCAATACATGCAAGTTTCAACCTCCTGACCTGGGCGCTGGACCACGACCAAGTCCCGAACGATATCCGTCGCAGTCTCGAGCTCGTTCGAACATGCGACTCAGATCTTCAGCATCTCATAGAACTACGTCAAGAGTGTCTCCATCTCCTTCAGCGCCGCCCAAAGGTTCTTGAGCGCGTACACAGCATTATCGAATCAGCTCAAAGAGGGCTTCAAGAAGTCTGCGAGATTGTCGAGAGATGTCGCCCTGAGGCCGACAGAGGTGGAAAGACCACATTTTCGAAACGCATGGCATGGGTGCTTGTAGATGCGAGTGAGTTCAAGAGCCAGGAGCCTATTGTTAGTCGACATCATGCCGCTGTGCTCGCTGAGTTGAACTTTCTGAGACAGATCGCTCTTTTGGCTCCTGTTCCTGAACCCGTGAAAGTTAAGGAGAAGTGCGGTGTAAGAGATGAAGCCGCAGTGTTTGATAACGTTGCGCTGCTAGGGGATCTTCTTGGTGATGCAACGGGCAAGTTGAATATTCCCATCATATAACTTGATTGATACAATGATCTAACAGCATGTGTCACCCTAGCTTCTACCAGGAAACCACAAATTGTTCAGTCTATTGATGCTCCAACTCCAACCATAGTCTTCAGCACCAACGCAGAATCCGCCACACCAACGACTCCATCCTCGCTCCAAGTACCTCAGTCTCTTCATAGATCAACGAGTTCGCAGACGATGCACATAGAACATGCGCCTGAGTCACTCCCAGAACTTGTCCCAGTCAACATGAACAGCACAGCTCTACCTAAATCTTTCACTTCAAGTGCCACTTACGATACTGAGGCCCTCGCAGGATTGAGTCTGCTTCTAGGAGACCCCTTAGACTGGAGACACTCACCGCCTCTGGCGCCAGCCAACAATGGTCTATTGAACCGGCCAGTGACGGCTCCATCTCAAAGACGGCCTGCACATTTCGCCAAGAATGATTCTGACCAGCATCTCCCACTTCATAGCCCCTATGATAGTGTCTCTGATCTGAGCCAAACTAGCCAGCGAGCAAGCCTCAACTACACTCCGTCACGTCTATCACCAAGCATCTCAAGCCCTTATTATCAGCAGCATTCACTTTCAAGACCTCCAGCAGCCACGCGATCAGCGTCTCAGCTTCACCATATGCCCTCTGGTCACTATCCGGGGCAGCTCACGTGGTCAAACTCGTCTTCTGCAACATTATCCTCCATCTCGTCCGGTGTAACAAGACCTGACTACAGCTGGATACCGCCAATTGCTGAGCTTGATAGTTCTCCCCACCATATGGTTCCAATTGTTGGTGCATTGAACCATCTAAATCGACCCAACGAGGTGCCAATGGACCAGAAACTCGCTATACAAATCAACACAACACCAGTCGAACTTCCAGCAGAGGATAACCTATCAACGAACATAAACACATACTGCCAGACTTTCTGTCCGGGGTCTAACAGAAGAGGGCGAGCCATCAGTCAACCAACATCAACACTACATCAGCAAATAACGCGGAACCCAACTCTTGACCAGGGAAAGGAAGTGGTGAGGGATTATAATGGTGTGCCAAAAGATTGTGCAACGTGGTAGTCGAATTTCTGGGCATAAGCATGCAAAGATATCAAGTTTAGATAGGAGGTTCAACAGACACGTTACTATGAAGCAACTGAGAAAACGAGTGTTGAGGTATTAGCAACACTCAAAGCTTTTCCACCCTGAGATATATACAGACCAACTGCTAAGTGCTGTATCTGTCTGAGTTCATCAGTGATTTATATAGGTTGCTAGTTAGTCTACCTACTATAGCCAAATGAGATTACATGCAAAGTGTCGACCAAGATATTCGCAACTCAATTTATTGTCTTGATGACCCTCGGTAAAGAAGGGGCCCATTACTACCTAGTAGAGGCACAGCTATTTTCCCTTATCTTCATCCATCAAATCCTGTCCGTTCAAGGTGCCGCAAGCCCCAACATCATTCTCTCGTGCGCACACACTCGGTCAATCTATAATAAGAAGCGTGGAAAGTGATCAGTAATGCAAACAAACACAAAGATCAAAATCAGACCCAAATCCTCAATTTCGCAAACGCGCGACAATAAATTGCCTTGATAATACATGTCGATAAACAATTCCCATTTCCTCCTCACACGTCAAGACATATATCCCATATTCCCGTACCACATCCTATTCGTGGTCTCAAAAATCGTATCTTGCAGTGCATCCATCCCACGCGGTCTCTCACCTTGAGAGATCGGTCTTCTGTGTGGTCCCTCAGTCTATATGCAAAAAAAGATGTGCGTTCCTCGTTTCGCTTCATCGTTCCAGCTCATGGTCATGCCGAGTTTCGGTCGAGGAGCCTCTGTTTTCAGTGGCCATCGTATCGATTGTCCGATATCTCATCATGTCATGAATCAGGCTATGTCATGAATAGAATAAAGCGGTGTGGTACGGTGCCACTGTGCCGTCCCATGTCGAGGCTGAAAGACCGAAATTATAACCGATCGCTCAACGTTTTTAAGTAAACAAAATCATTTCCGTAACTCCGATGCTGATGCCCTTTACCGTCTTTGATCTTACCATCCTCGTGTCGAAGATTATAGTCGACATATGTATATTTATTCGACAACCTTAGTCCTCAATAGTCCGCGATGACTCAGGTGAATTCGAGGTATCCTATACCATCGAACTGAGAACGCTTATACTGAGGATCATAATGAGTAGACCGATAGTAACAACTATCAGTAGGGCGAATGAGAACCAACCCAATACCATGGCGCTGGTACCCACGCCACTCTTGACAGCTCCGTTTCCGAAATCCTGGGCTATAACCGAGGCGGCTACGGACGCTGTATGTTGCCATAGCACAGATACAAGGACGAAGATGGCTGAGACGAAGATCAGGGCAAGAGCAATTTGGGAGACGGGACGAGACGGGAAAGGCTTGACTTCGCGGTCAGAGCCTTCTGAATCAGTCTCCTCGTGCCATCCGGGGAAGGTCGCGAGGAGGAGGAGGCAGACGAAAGCGAAGATGATGGCGATAATACTGAGAATCAGGTTAGTGTGGCTCGATTTCGGTGCACGTGGAGTTAAAACTGACATGAGATATGGGAATACAATCATATCTTTGAATTGAGCAGCCAGCCAGATGAGGTTGAGAGGATCTTGGTCCACATCAACCTCCTTAGCCAGTGCAGTGGCATTGTTGCTGCACAGCCAGGAACCACCGTCGGGGTTGATACAGATACCGAAGTAGCCAACGCGAGCTTGCAATGAAGCGTCGCCTGCGATGTTCTCGATAGCTGAATGGAGGTTGTAGTCGACCTGGGCTGTATCGGGCACTGCTGTGTAGTCCTTGTAGTAGATAGATAGTAGGAAGATGTCGGGGATAAGTGGCGAGGACGATGAACAGCCAGCGAGAAGCAGTGCTTGTTTTTGTTAGAAGGTCATCTCGTTTTAGGGGCAAAATAGCTCACATAATAGAATAATGGCGATGGCGATAAGGATCATCAACACATGGTGATAACCGAGGAATGGAACGAAGCCTAGTGAAATTGGATGTTAGCGATGCGGACTGTATCAGCTGAGACATTGGATCGATGTCCCGAGATCAGACAGTGACTTACGATACCAGCCGACCTGGACTTTTTGCCTTCTAGAGGACGAGCTGCTGCTGCTGCTCGTCCCGGAACCCATCGTGAATGATGTTGATCCTACACTCCTTCAAATTGTTGTCTGTTGAAGTAGTAGCGGGAAACAACTGAGTTGTTTGCGCTCGTCCCCCAGTTAGGGAGCGACGAACACGAGTTCCTCAAGGCCAATATCAATTGGTTTCCTTGCTCTTTCTGTTACCGCTGGGTTGCGTAACACTCTGGAAGCGATCCTTTGATCGACCCCGAACTTCCTCCACTGGACTGGATCAGTCAATCTGTCTCGGGAACAACTGGTTTTTGTCGAAGTGAAGGTGAAGAAGTGGTGGAATGCGGGCGGGAGAAAGCGATGTCTCGGTAGACAATGGACACTGGAATGTATGTGGGCTAAAGACGACGGTCGGTGACAACGAGCGAAAGTCGGGCCCTGCAATAGTGAGATCTTGTTAAAGGAGGTTAAGTTAGGAAGTCAAGTTAAGTTGAGAGTTGGCCACGATAAATCAAGA